GATAAATGTCATACATGTTGATGAATGTCACACATGTGATAAATGTCATACATGTGATAAATGTCACACATGTAATAAATGTCACACGTGATAAATGTCATACATGTGATAAATGTCATACATGTGATAAATGTCAAACGTGATAAATGTCAAACATGTTGATAAATGTCATACATGTGATAAATGTCACACATGTAATAAATGTCACACGTGATAAATGTCATACATGTGATAAATGTCATACATGTGATAAATGTCACACGTGATAAATGTCAAAAATGTTGATAAATGTCACACGTGATAAATGTCATACATGTGATAAATGTCATACATGTGATAAATGTCAAACATGTTGATAAATATCATACATGTGATAACTGTCATACATGTGATAAATGTCATACATGTGATAAATGTCATACATGTGATAAATGTCACACATGTGATAAAGGTCACACATGTGATAAATGTCATACATGTGATAAATGTCATACATGTGATAAATGTCATACATGTGATAAATGTATGACAGACAGGAAAAAAAAACAGTGGGATAAATTGCCTTTTTAAAACCATGAAACAAAATCTTTCCCTCAACAAGAACTGATCTGGAGTTGTTCTTAGCTCCATCCACGATATTATCAGGAACTTCTGGCACAAATGTCTCCCCACCCCTTCTGTCTAAAAGCTCCGGTCTCAGACCGTGATACTGTGATGTCATTGTACCACCATGACATCACACTCTGAGCAGTTTGCAGAGGACCTCATAACATGACACAGAGGACCGCAGTCAGCACGCGGGCCATGGTTTGGACATGTCTTGTGGCAAAAAACAACGAAGACTTAGGGCGAGATCTGAAGCACAGAAGCCTCTGGGCTTTATTTCAGTTTCCAGTTCTTTTGAGTTTTCCAGAACAAAGTCAGAACAAGCATTTTATGACGTCACAGCCACAGACAGAACTGAAGTCCCCGAGACCGGATCACTCCTACGTCCATGTTGTGAAGGAAGGCCAGAGCTAACCTACAGAGCTAACCTACAGAGCTAACACATGAGCTAACCTACAGAGCTAACCTACAGAGCTAACCTACAGAGCTAACCTACAGAGCTAACCTACAGAGCTAACCTACAGAGCTAACCTACAGAGCTAACCTACAGAGCTAACCTACAGAGCTAACCTACAGAGCTAACACATGAGCTAACCTACTGAGCTAACCTACAGAGCTAACCTACAGAGCTAACCTACAGAGCTAACCTACAGAGCTAACCTACAGAGCTAACCTACAGAGCTAACACATGAGCTAACCTACAGAGCTAACCTACAGAGCTAACCTACAGAGCTAACCTACAGAGCTAACCTACAGAGCTAACCTACTGAGCTAACCTACAGAGCTAACATACAGAGCTAACCTACAGAGCTAACCTACAGAGCTAACCTACAGAGCTAACCTACAGAGCTAACCTACAGAGCTAACCTACAGAGCTAACCTACAGAGCTAACCTACAGAGCTAACCTACAGAGCTAACCTACAGAGCTAACCTACAGAGCTAACTACAGAGCTAACCTACAGAGCTAACCTACAGAGCTAACCTACAGAGCTAACCTACAGAGCTAACCTACAGAGCTAACCTACAGAGCTAACCTATAGAGCTAACCTACAGAGCTAACCTACAGAGCTAACCTACAGAGCTAACCTATAGAGCTAACCTACAGAGCTAACCTATAGAGCTAACCTACAGAGCTAACACATGAGCTAACCTACAGAGCTAACACATGAGCTAACCTACAGAGCTAACCTACAGAGCTAACCTACAGAGCTAACCTACAGAGCTAACATACAGAGCTAACCTACAGAGCTAACCTACTGAGCTAACCTACAGTGCTAACCTACAGAGCTAACCTACAGAGCTAACCTACAGAGCTAACCTACAGAGCTAACCTACAGAGCTAACACATGAGCTAACCTACAGAGCTAACCTACAGAGCTAACCTACAGAGCTAACACATGAGCTAACCTACAGAGCTAACCTACAGAGCTAACACATGAGCTAACCTACAGAGCTAACCTACTGAGCTAACCTACAGAGCTAACACATGAGCTAACCTACAGAGCTAAACACATGAGCTAACCTACGAGCTAACCTACAGAGCTAACCTACAGAGCTAACCTACAGAGCTAACCTACAGAGCTAACCTACAGAGCTAACCTACAGAGCTAACCTACAGAGCTAACCTACAGAGCTAACCTACAGAGCTAACCTACAGAGCTAACCTACAGAGCTAACCTACAGAGCTAACCTACAGAGCTAACCTACAGCTAGCTAAACCTACAGAGCTAACCTACAGAGCTAACCTACAGAGCTAACCTACAGAGCTAACCTACAGAGCTAACCTACAGAGCTAACCTACAGAGCTAACCTACAGAGCTAACCTACAGAGCTAACCTACAGAGCTAACCTACAGAGCTAACCTACAGAGCTAACCTACAGAGCTAACCTACAGAGCTAACATACAGAGCTAACCTACGAGCTAACCTACAGAGCTAACACAGAGCTAACTACAGAGCTAACCTACAGAGCTAACACTACATGAGCTAACCTACAGAGCTAACCTATGAGCTAACCTACAGAGCTAACACATGAGCTAACCTACAGAGCTAACACAGAGCTAACCTACAGAGCTAACCTACAGAGCTAACCTACAGAGCTAACCTACAGTGCTAACCTATAGAGCTAACCTACAGAGCTAACACATGAGCTAACCTACAGAGCTAACCTACAGAGCTAACCTACAGAGCTAACCTACAGAGCTAACCTACAGAGCTAACCTACAGAGCTAACCTACTGAGCTAACCTACAGAGCTAACATACAGAGCTAACCTACTGAGCTAACCTACAGAGCTAACATACAGAGCTAACCTACTGAGCTAACCTACAGAGCTAACCTATAGAGCTAACCTACAGTGCTAACCTACAGAGCTAACCTACAGAGCTAACCTACAGAGCTAACCTACTGAGCTAACCTACAGAGCTAACCTACAGAGCTAACCTACAGAGCTAACCTACAGAGCTAACCTACAGAGCTAACCTACTGAGCTAACCTACTGAGCTAACCTACTGAGCTAACCTACTGAGCTAACCTACAGAGCTAACATACAGAGCTAACACATGAGCTAACCTACAGAGCTAACCTACTGAGCTAACCTACAGAGCTAACCTACAGAGCTAACCTATAGAGCTAACCTACTGAGCTAACCTACAGAGCTAACCTACAGAGCTAACCTACAGAGCTAACCTACAGAGCTAACCTACAGAGCTAACCTACAGAGATAACCTACAGAGCTAACCTACAGAGCTAACCTATAGAGCTAACCTACAGAGCTAACACATGAGCTAACCTACAGAGCTAACCTACAGAGCTAACCTACAGAGCTAACACATGAGCTAACCTATAGAGCTAACCTACAGAGCTAACCTACAGAGCTAACCTACTGAGCTAACCTACAGAGCTAACCTACAGAGCTAACACATGAGCTAACCTATAGAGCTAACCTACAGAGCTAACCTACAGAGCTAACCTATAGAGCTAACCTACAGAGCTAACACATGAGCTAACCTACAGAGCTAACCTACAGAGCTAACACATGAGCTAACCTATAGAGCTAACCTACAGAGCTAACCTACAGAGCTAACCTATAGAGCTAACCTACAGAGCTAACACATGAGCTAACCTACAGAGCTAACCTACTGAGCTAACCTACAGAGCTAACCTACAGTGCTAACCTACTGAGCTAACCTACAGAGCTAACACATGAGCTAACCTACAGAGCTAACACATGAGCTAACCTACAGAGCTAACCTACAGAGCTAACCTACAGAGCTAACCTACAGAGCTAACACATGAGCTAACCTACAGAGCTAACCTACAGAGCTAACACATGAGCTAACCTATAGAGCTAACCTACAGAGCTAACCTACAGAGCTAACCTATAGAGCTAACCTACAGAGCTAACACATGAGCTAACCTACAGAGCTAACCTACTGAGCTAACCTACTGAGCTAACCTACAGAGCTAACCTACAGAGCTAACACATGAGCTAACCTACAGAGCTAACCTATAGAGCTAACCTACTGAGCTAACCTACAGAGCTAACCTACAGAGCTAACCTACAGAGCTAACCTACAGAGCTAACCTACAGAGCTAACCTACAGAGATAACCTACAGAGCTAACCTACAGAGCTAACCTACTGAGCTAACCTACAGAGCTAACCTACTGAGCTAACACATGAGCTAACCTACAGAGCTAACCTACAGAGCTAACCTACAGAGCTAACCTACTGAGCTAACCTATAGAGCTAACCTACAGAGCTAACCTACAGAGCTAACCTACAGAGCTAACCTACAGAGCTAACACATGAGCTAACCTACAGAGCTAACCTACTGAGCTAACCTACAGAGCTAACCTATAGAGCTAACCTACAGAGCTAACCTACTGAGCTAACCTACAGAGCTAACCTATAGAGCTAACCTACAGAGCTAACCTACAGAGCTAACCTACAGAGCTAACCTACAGAGCTAACCTATAGAGCTAACCTACAGAGCTAACCTATAGAGCTAACCTACAGAGCTAACACATGAGCTAACCTACAGAGCTAACCTACAGAGCTAACCTATAGAGCTAACCTACAGAGCTAACACATGAGCTAAACTACAGAGCTAACCTACAGAGCTAACCTACAGAGCTAACACATGAGCTAACCTATAGAGCTAACCTACAGAGCTAACACATGAGCTAACCTACAGAGCTAACCTACTGAGCTAACCTACTGAGCTAACCTACAGAGCTAACCTACAGAGCTAACACATGAGCTAACCTACAGAGCTAACCTACTGAGCTAACCTACAGAGCTAACCTACAGAGCTAACCGTGTCTCTGTGCAGGACTTTGCCGTGTCCACCGTCCCAGTCTGTGGAGGAGCCAGACTCAAACACATCTGCTCCATGGGAGGTCCGGACACCATCGTCTTCAGCAACAGCGACGGAGCCAAGAAGACGCTGCGGGTGAGAGTCCTTTACTGTCTCTGTGTCTCTGTGTCTCTCTGTCTCTGTCTGTGTCTCTCTGTCTCTGCGTCTGTGTCTCTGCGTCTCTCTGTCTGTGTCTCTCTGTCTCTGCGTCTGTGTCTCTCTGTCTGTGTCTCTGCGTCTGTGTCTCTCAGTCTCTGTCTCTGCGTCTGTGTCTCTGCGTCTCTCTGTCTCTGCGTCTGTGTCTCTCTGTCTCTGCGTCTCTCTGTCTCTGCGTCTGTGTCTCTGTCTCTGCGTCTGTGTCTCTCTGTCTCTGCGTCTCTCTGTCTCTGCGTCTGTGTCTCTGTCTCTGCGTCTGTGTCTCTGTGTCTGTGTCTCTGCGTCTGTGTCTCTCCATCTCTGCGTCTGTGTCTCTCTGTCTCTGCGTCTGTGTCTCTGTCTGTGTCTCTGCGTCTGTGTCTCTGTCTGTGTCTCTGCGTCTGTGTCTCTCCGTCTCTGTCTCTGCGTCTCTCTGTCTCTGCGTCTCTCTGTCTCTGCGTCTGTGTCTCTCTGTCTCTGTGTCTCTGCGTCTGTGTCTCTCCGTCTCTGTCTCTGCGTCTGTGTCTCTGCGTCTCTCTGTCTCTGCGTCTCTCTGTCTCTGCGTCTGTGTCTCTCTGTCTCTGCGTCTGTGTCTCTCTGTCTGTGTCTCTGCGTCTGTGTCTCTCCGTCTCTGTCTCTGCGTCTGTGTCTCTGCGTCTCTCTGTCTCTGTCTCTCTGTCTCTGCGTCTGTGTCTCTCTGTCTCTGCGTCTGTGTCTCTCTGTCTCTGCGTCTGTGTCTCTCCGTCTCTGTCTCTGCGTCTGTGTCTCTGCGTCTCTCTGTCTCTGCGTCTCTCTGTCTCTGCGTCTGTGTCTCTCTGTCTCTGCGTCTGTGTCTCTCTGTCTGTGTCTCTGCGTCTGTGTCTCTCCGTCTCTGTCTCTGCGTCTGTGTCTCTGCGTCTCTCTGTCTCTGCGTCTGTGTCTCTCTGTCCCTGTCTCTCTCTCTCTCTCAGCAACGAGGAAAAATATGGAGAAATTGGACTATGGCTGATATGATTCTAGATTTTAGGTATATGAATCTGAAAGGCTGTCTCCCCATCTGGACTCTGGGACCAGCAGGAGTCCAGTCCCTGTGCTCCTCAGAGTCCCAGCAGGAGTCCAGTCCCTGTGCTCCTCAGAGTCCCAGCAGGAGGCCAGTCCCTGTGCTCCTCAGAGTCCCAGCAGGAGTCCAGTCCCTGTGCTCCTCAGAGTCCCAGCAGGAGGCCAGTCCCTGTGCTCCTCAGAGTCCCAGCAGGAGTCCAGTCCCTGTGCTCCTCAGAGTCCCAGCAGGAGTCCAGTCCCTGTGCTCCTCAGAGTCCCAGCAGGAGGCCAGTCCCTGTGCTCCTCAGAGTCCCAGCAGGAGTCCAGTCCCTGTGCTCCTCAGAGTCCCCGCAGGAGTCCAGTCCCTGTGCTACAGAGTTGGTTCATTTGGCTCTAACATGTCACAGATGTATTTTGGTGCCAGTGTAGAGACTTGAGCACATAAAAAAACTTGTCTCAAACTCGTTCTGGTCGAGGCTGGATCAGAATAAGATCAATATTTGTGTGTGTGTGCGTGTGTGTGTGTGTGCTCATGATACATAAACATTGGAGCAAACAGATCCATGACGCACAAACACTAAAATAACGTGTGCTATTTTAGTATCACACTATTTCACTTTGCAGCCGCAGCGGAAACTGGAGCTTTGATCATTAAATCATGTTGTGTTTAGTTAAAACAGTTTTATTTTAGCTTTGTAGATAACTGCAGATAGAGAAAACTATTGGCTAAAGAAGAGTATTATGAATTACACATATACGTGGAGAAAAATCTTTAGTTTACAAACAGGTGGTCTTGATAGTCCGGTGTTATCTGGTCTTTATGGTGTTTCCTCTGCTCTGCCTCAGTCTCATCTCTACATCTCTATAATCCTATATTTATCTGCAGATGATGGAGCAGCTGACGGATCATCACTATGAGATCCTCACGGTTCCGGAAGAAGCCGCTGCAAACTGCATCTTCATCAAAGGAGCGAGCAACCGAGACTTTCTGATCCACCGTCCGCCAGAGGAGGCGCCAGAGAGCACAGCGGTGAGTTTATTATGGTCAGATCTGTATTTGTTCTTAAATCAACCCCTGTGAAGCCCTTTCAGAGTGTTAGGGTGTTCTTTCATCTCTGAGCTGGGTAAAGTTGACAAACTGATTCTTAACGTCCTCTGTCCTCGTGTGTCGTCCTCAGTGGTTCCAGAAGCTTCCAGACTACACGCTGCTGCCCACGGCCTGCAGCGAAGCCTCCAAACTGGGCGCCTCTCTGTCCTCGCTGTGTCTCCTCCTCAACAGAAAACACTCATATTTCTGAACCAAAACCACTTCTTTTCTATTTATTGCTGCAGAAAACTCTGGTACAAACCGTGGCACATCTGCAGCTTTGACTCAAGGGAAAAATCACTTCAGTTTGTCCATTTTCCACTTCTCTCCAGACTCTGTGTCACCGCTGTGCACGGATCAGAGTAATTCCACTTCTATAATCTATGAATTCTTTCATGTGTAGCTTTTCCTTTAGTTGCGTTGATTTTGCGCTGTCGGACAATAAATGCTGTTTGTATAAACTTGTTTACTCCATGTCTGTGGGAGACAAGTAAAAGTGAATGTTACTAGTTTTGGCTCAATGCAAAACATTGTCTTTAAATAAAGTGTTTTTCAGGACACTTTGCATCATTCTTTCTCCAAACAGTTGTGATAAACTGTAGCCACAGCTGCCCTGGGGCACACTGAAAGAAGTGACGCGACCAGTCTGTGCCATCGGCCCCTCCCACCACCACCAACCATTCATTCTAATGTGCGGGAAGTGTCTTGCCAAAGGACATAACAGCAATTTGGCACTTTACAGCCGCCCCACTGCGGAGCCTGGTGTTTCCAGAGGTCTCCCATCACAGCAATAACCAGACCCTGTCCTACTTAGCTTCGGAAATCTGACAGGATCTGGCTTTCACCTATGGCCAAAATAATTCATGACGTAAAGGAGTGAACTTTGAGCTGAAAGGCTCAGAATCAAAGTTTTTCAAAGGTTTCTGAAAATGTTTAGCAGTTTTTTTTCCACCAAGTTTCAGGTCAGTTTTAAATCACATCTAAATGAGATCAGTCATAATAATGTCAAAGTTATGGATAACCCTCAGGGCTTTAATGCAGTTGGAACATTTAGAAGCTATAATTGGTGAGCACAAACTAAAGCAATTCCTTTGATCAAAAAGCTGCTTGTCTCCTTTTTCAGGCCAAAGTGAACGTTGAGGAAATGTCATAATCCACCTCCAGATTAAAACATTTACAAATAGTTGAATTATCCAGTTATGTCTCCCAAAATCAAATGAATGACCTTTGCTTTCAGACCGTGGTGTAACGCTGAGGCAACACTTTGAACTAAAACATTAACAAAGTTTACAATCGAGACATTTCACATCAAGACTTAACTTTTACTTATTTGGTGCTTGAGTAAAAATCCCATTTAACCAAAAAAAACCTTCCCACAGATTGTAATGGATTATAATTATTTGTCTGCCGTTCACAGCAGCAGATGAGGCGGGGGCTTCAGTGCTTAAAGGACAACTCACCCTCAAATCCACTTTTTTTTGCTGATAAACGGTATAAATGAGTGTCCAATAGTGTTGTCTACATATCCTGGTCATAGTTTTTTCACTTTGGTGCAAATTAGTTGAAAGTTAAACTTTCTGCCTAAAACCGTCTGTGAGGCGCCATCTGCTGGCGACCTGTATTACTACATTTGAACTTTGAATCTGGCGCCAACACTGGCACAGAAGTTGGACCTGACGTCAGCAGCCCCCCGCCCAGAGCAATGTAAACGGCCCAGTCTCGGTCACGCCCCCTTCAGTCCTCCAGGTCACGCCCATTTAGAGGAAGGTTTGAACAGGAAATGTGAGTGACGTAAGCTCCGAGGAGCGGGGGTGAGAACCACTTTAATGAATAATGAAAAACAAGATTGTACAATTTTCTTCAAATTTATTTGTTTGGATCGAAAGCGCAGAACGTCTTAACGGTTGGACTTGGCGACTCTCTCCAACTCGTCTTTCTTCTTGATGGCGTAGGAGTTGGAAGAACCCTGAAAGAGACGAGACGTTTAGGTCCAAATGTGTGACGTCACTCAGAGCGAAAAACAAAACGTTTGAGTTGGTCCTGTCTCTGGTGCACCGGGCACTTCCAAACATTTGTTCCAATTTTGGAACGAACCGTCCTGCTTTTGGACAGTGTTCCTGAATATTGCTGTGAAATACGAGAAATTGTCCTTTTGTCTTCTACGCGAGGAAAATATTTGGTTTTGATCGACTCTCGGCGTAAATCAAGTTTAATTTGAGTGATAATTAGGGGTGTGACGATATATCGCGATACTTTCTCCCGCGATCCGACTATCGATATGCATTTGCAAAGTATCAATATAGGGATTTTTTTTTTTTAAATTGATTAATAATTTACAGCTACATTATGCATCTCCATTCATGAAATAAAGTGTTTTTTTTAATTTATGCCATAAATTGGCATATTGTATATTTGACCAATATATCGAAAATCGTCATATCGTGAAAATCATTATCGTGAGCTTTGTATCGTGTCGTGAGGCCCCCTTAGGTTCCCACCCCTAGTGATAACAAACAGCATAATCCAGGACTACACTGCTTTTATACTCATGTTGTGATGCAGATCTGTGACGGACGCACACTTTCTACAAGAACACCACAATCTTCTTAAAACTACTACTTTGGAAACATGGTCTATTTTAAAGTCTGGACTTCTGGTAAACCATATGTTCCGTTCTTAGCTTCAGGTCTGCTTGTTGCAGCGACCTCCCCGTTCAGATCAGATTTGATAAACCGTAATGGCGGCGCTCTAAGTGAGTTATTACTTTGGCTGCATTGATCAGCTCGTCGGCCAGGCACTCAGCGATGGTCTTGATGTTCCTGAAAGCAGCTTCTCTCGCTCCGGTGCACAGAAGCCAGATGGCCTGAAGGATTACACAAAAACCACAATTAGACAAATGGAAACTGTTAGGCACAGAAGCTGTCTCTGAGTTGGTGATTGACTGGGCCACGGCAGACTACAGCCAATGAATATACACAGAGTTTACTTTACGAGAGCTCTAGCACACCAGGACCACGGGACGTGAAGGCGTGACTCTAGCCTCGAGCATCAATGAGACTGACATGTACAATATAAGACTTAAACACACTTTCAGAAAAACTAATGTAAGACAATCAAGTACATTTTCAACCCAACAGGAGCTCAAACTAAAATTATACAGATACAACAAACTGCTTATTAGAACATCTGCATTTTGTTAACATTTTATTTTTGATTTATTTTGTGGCCCAAGAGGAGCACAGTGAGAAAAAAGACAAACGCAAAAGAAGTCTTGTTATGCTTTACATGTTACAGGAAAAACTAATGAATTATGAAACTATCGTAATAAAGTGTAGACCAGACAAATGCTGAACCGTCAGTGGAAAGATTAGCATCTGTACAAATTAGCAAATTTACCATCAAAATAAATTAAGGGGGCGGAGCTGCTTATGAAATACAGCAGTGTTTTAAAACTTGCTTAGTCACAAAAATATTTCCAAAAACGTGATTTAAATAAGTGTAGATTCTGGCGGCGAATGTCTAAGATTTTACAATAGAATCTAATAGATCCATTAACCAGAAAGAAAGTGAATGAAAGCTGTTTTTGGCAGATGAGGTAATGTTTTGGGATAATGGGAGAGCAAGATATTAAAGGGGTCCATGTGGCGCCATCTGGTGGATCATCGAGTCACTGTATAGAGAAATAAAAGTGAAGCGAACGATGCCATTTATAAAAGTTATGAAAACTATAAATGACTTAAATACCAAAAGTCAGGGTCTCTTTCCAACATGAACCAAATGAATGCTGTAAAGTCATGCAATTCCCATGAGCCTCTTCCCCGTCTGCAGCGTTACCTGGTTGACTCTGCGGAGTGGCGACACGTCCACGGCCTGCCTCCTCACGGTTCCAGCGCGACCGATACGAGTGGAGTCTTCACGGGGCCCACTGTTGATGATTGCGTTCACCAAAACCTGCAGCGGGTTCTGGGACAAAGGAGGAGTTTAAGAGTTTATTCCTCTGCATTATAAACATTTACAGACTACATTAAAATAAAGGGTCTGTCTCTGAGTTGGTGATTGACTGGGCCACGACAGACTACAGCCAATGAATATACAAAGAGTTTACTTTTCGAGAGCTCTAGCACACCAGGACAACGGGACGTGAAGGCGTGACTCTAGCCTCGGGTTAAAATATATATTGCCATTTTTAAAAACAACTTCAGATAAAAATAAGAAATGACTCCAACATTAAACATCTGTTGTGCGCATCTGCTCCAGGATAACAGGGAACACTTTTCTCCAGGCTCATGTCCAGATGTTTTAGTTCTACAGATAAGTACTTTTCTCTACTCCATGAAATGTCTTAAATATAAAGATTCACTGTTCATGAACTAGAGCCACCTCCTTCCACTCTCAGCAGGGGGTAAAGCCTCCTCCGTCCACACGTACCTCTCCCGTGAGCAGGTGGATGATCTCGAAGGCGTGTTTGACGATGCGGACGGTCATCAGCTTCTTGCCGTTGTTGCGTCCGTGCATCATCATGGAGTTGGTGAGGCGCTCCACGATCGGACACTGGGCCTTCCTGAAACGCTTCGCGGCGTAACGGCCTCCAGAGTGGGGCAGGTATTTGGCATACTTCTCTTTCACAGCAATGTAATCCTGAAGAAGAGCAAGGGAAGAATGCATCAATATATATAACAATGAAGGCTTTACCACTGCTATATAAAAGTATAGTTTACGTTACGAATACTGACAATCACTAGGGATAGAGCGGGGTTTAGCAGAGGAGAAAGTACTAAAGACTTAGCTCCCTGTCAACTAAATACTAAAATACTTTATACAAGAATAAGAGCTAGGTCTAAAACATGTAAGAGTCTGCATCTCCTACAGTGTACCATAACAGTAGTATTCAAAGTCAGTTTGTATCTGAGCTGGTGATTGACTGGGCCACAGAGACTACAGTCAATGAATATGCAAAGATATTGTTCTGTGAAAGCTCTAGCACACCAGAACCACAGAATCAAGTCCAGGAGTGACTCTAGCCTCGATCTGAACGCAAACATGTGGTGTAGGGGTTTACCTGGAGAGAGATGTCATTTATCTGAACATCATCTGTGCTCCACTTCCCGAAGAGTTTGATCTCCGGAGATTCAGCCACTGCTGGAGCGGTCTCCCAGTCAGTCACTGAAAACAGGAATAATACATTAACTCCTTTACACAGCAATGTTTTATCCTATAATCCGATATGTGGGCAGTGTACATCTCATAAAACCATCGATATGCATTTGTTACACCGAGATCCAAGAATAACAGCTTTATTATTATTATTAGATTTCCAATGTTTTCTATTATACAATGAAAGTATCAAGGCAGTGCAGGATAATGACATGTCTCTAATGTCTAAAGACCTCTCGACTGCAGAGATACTGTACATTTGTCAACACTGGTGAGATGTGAAGCCACCAGGCGCTAGGCCTGAGGAGAAGACTGCGGACATTGGTTCTCTCTCCACTGCGGGTTTGAACCCATGATGCTTCGGTGAGAACATACTTGGTACAAAGTAAAGACTAAACAGAGTTAATGCTTATTACGCTCATTTAAATCACGTTCAATGGAATAATCAGCAGCAACTACAGCCGGCGATCAACAACGTGCCGCTTCCACACGTGCTAACTGTTAGCCACATGCTAAGGCTCCGCGCGGCGACGATTTTTAATGAAATAACTTTACATTTAAATCATTTTTGGCGTGTTACTGAGACCAGATGGACAGTGGAAAGTTAACAGACTCTGCATGAGCCAAGCACAAGGACTTAAACTCGTTTAGAGGCGTTAAAATGAGATTTTCGGACTCACTTGTGTCTGCCGTTCTGCACCACACTTCTCAGAGACGGAAAAGGGCCTTCTCAGGGCCACGCGCCACATATCCGGTCGGACCGTGACTACTTCCGCATTCCGGAATTATGGGAAATGTATTTTAATGAGAGTCGAGAACGATCATTAGAACTTTAGCAGATAATCCTGTAAACTTAGTGCGATGTTTTTGTTGCATTCTGTTTTTTATCATGAGCGTTTTTATTTTAATACATGTTTTATCAGTAAAAGAGTAAAAGACACGACACTGGTGATGATCAAAACTGTTTACTGAGGAGTTGACAAATCACTGACACTGTAATTATTTGCACTGTAGAAATTGTTCAGTTGATCAGAAATTGTACTAAAATATTTTCTGTTTAAATTTTACAAAGATGTTGTTGGTAAAATGTCCCTTTATTCCACAATTCACAACATGCAGATTAGCATAAAAAACAATCATCAGCGGTAGCTTATACAGAGCAGTCCTATCCCTTCATACGTAAGTGCTGCTACTCTGCTTCTTTAAACACAGAGAACACATTTATTCAGTTGTTTTGGTTGAAGAACAAAACCTTTAAAAACACCATGAATCCCTTAAAAAATAAAGTTATTAAAATGGATACAAAATGAATCGACCGTTCCCCAGCGGAGGAGAGGCGGCGATTACAGCACTTTGGTTTGGGACACGAAGGGAAACATAAGGCTGGATGAAACACTTTAAAGAGAACCTGCTTAACAATAGTTCTACTGCATCACTTGGATAAAGTCTCTTCATTTCTAGTATCGAGTAAATGTAAATAGACAGATACAGAAACATCAGGCACTGACGGGACGGAGGTCTGAGGTACGTTTGACAAAAGATACTCAATATTACAATTCAAATATAATCTGTTTCAAAATATACATAGTTTTATAATATCAGCCAATTACCGGTACATAGAAAATGTGTTTTTGTGTGATTGACTCAGACCAAAGCGGTTCAAAGCGGTTCAAAGCCTTTGTGGTGTGTAGCCAATCCTTGGAAAAGTAGTTAGAAAACGTTCTTGAAAAGTTAAAATTTGAGAGCTTGTTTAGCGCAAAAATAATAAGTTTGCCATATTTTCCGAACAATGGAAAAGACCCCAAACCATGCGACAGATTAAAATCTCATTCACAAATAAATACTGTTCAAAATACGACAAAAATAAAAGTACAAATATTCCGTTTTACGTTTTGCCGTTCAATCTGACGGCGTTAGTGTCTTCATTGGTCAAGGCTAAAGCATATGCTGCGTTTTTCCGTTTAGTCTCCATCCATTTGTGCTTTTTTGACGATAAAAACTTAAGGCAGGATCTTTCCCTCAAACCTAAACACGTGTAATGACTGTAGCGAGGACAGTTGGACAATAAATATCTTAAAAACTATCATGAAACAAGTAGAATGTGTAAAACTGTCCCGGGTGTGGCCTGGAGAACACTGCGGCCCTGGTTTCCGTCTTCAGTCCAGCCACTTCTCGATGCAGTTGTGGAAAACCGTCTCGTTGGAATGCCACCAGACGTGCTCCACTCCGGGCACAGAACACACGACCAGGTCTCCGCGGGCGCCGAGGGTCTTCAGCCCAAACACGTCTCTCAAAAACACCTGGGAAAGAACGAAGAGCTGACGATACAGTTGGTCTGATTCCTGATGGAGTCCGTGGGTCACAATCACAGATACTGAATATCGTCTTTCTTAAGAAGAAACTTGGAATCTATCGTTCACTCCGTCCTCTGATATTTCTTATACTTTCTCGATACTTTTCGTATAAACCACAAAAACTCTTAAACAGGAAGTAGCCTCCTGCTGGTGCCCAGAGTCAGGACTAAACCACAGAATTAAACAAACTAAATCTATCTGACTAGTTCCTCGCTCCCACATCAGTTTGGTTTTATCTCTAGTTTTTGAACAAGGTTTTTTAAGACAGAAAAGTGATAAAAAAAGAGCTCTAAACACAATTTCTCTAAAAGGCCAAGAATCTACTTAAAATATTTGTACTTTCATTTTCTGCTTCTGTAATGGTCCTTGATGTGCTTGGATGGATAACATGTCCAGAAGTATGTAGAATACAATTATAGCCTCACAGCAGAGGTTCTGTGTTCTAATCCCATGTTGGACTTACGCCTTGGTCCTGCATCTCCACAACCGTCTCGTTGTCGTCGAAGAAACCAAACTGACTGAAAGAAAAAGCACATGAGAAATCTGAGAAACTGGAACACGACCAGAGAAAACACGATTACACAGACACACACACACAGACACGGACACACACACACACACAGAGAGACACAGACACACACACACACACAGACACACACACACAGACACGGACACACACACACACAGACACGGACACACACAGACACACACACACACACAGAGAGACACAGACACACACACACAGAGAGAGAGAGACACACACACACAGAGAGAGACACAGACACACATACACACACAGAGAAAGACACACACACACACAGACAAACACACACACAGAGACACAGACACACACACAGACACACACAGAGAGACACAGACACACACACACAGAGACACAGACACACACACACACACACACACACAGACACACACACAGACAGACAAACACACACACAGAGACACAGACACACACAGAGAGACACAGACACACACACACAGAGACACAGACACACACACACACACACACACACAGACACACACACACACACACAGAGACACAGACACACAGACACACACACACAGACACACAGACACACACACACACAGACACTGTCTCACAATTCCACAAAAATAAATCATAGACGGTGTGTTTATTATTAACTTTATCTCAAATGGATTAAAGCTCGGGTCCCTAACTTTAAAAACACACACAGACTCTCTAAACAGTTTGGTTCGATCGCTTGTTTTCACATAAGGATTAAGAGATCCTGTCTGAGTCCCACTGAGGAAATGTCAGTGTTGCATCACCAGTTACAGAACAGAAGGAATCAGGAGCCCTATTGGTCCGTCTAACTGTCAATCATTCTGCTGATGTGTGCTTAGACCAGAGAGGTTTGTTTACAATGTGGAGAGGGCGGGTCTTTCTTAAAGTTTGGGAAAATTCTCCTTTTTACCTTAACTCATTGACTGCTGCCGTTTTTGATGATTTCACAGATTCTCAACACCCAAAGAATATTATTTCCTGAGACTATGTGAAATATGAAACCAGATTCTGAAAGACTGGATTGTCTACTTTGATCAGATTAAATTAGTTTCTTTCTAACTATTTTTATTGTCCCAGTCGAATAGAGGGTCCCAGACAAATACGTCAATGGCAGTCAATGAGTTAAGTACAGCAAAACTAAACTTTAGATTTTTTCAGAAGTGAAAGAATGAGAAGCGCCCTCTCTCGGCCAATCAGCTCTCAGTATGTAAATGAGAACATATTTTCTAAAACGATAAAGACAGTGTGTAGTGGTTTGATTTGTTCACAGTTTTACTTCAACAAGACCTTATTGTACATAACATCCTGCAGTTTATATTTTTAACCTTATTATGCGGCACATTTCTGTACAGTCTGATTCTCTCTGTGCCAAATGGGACATGGAAACCTCTTTGATAATTATTTTCAAGATAGAGATTTTCTAATTGTTATTGATGCTAGAGTTAGAGATAATTTGGTTTTATTTGAATGAGTAAAGCTATTGTTCACTTAACTTGTGCCGTGTGCTCCTCGTTCCTACTGTTCTGTAACTTGTGAAGCAACACTGACATTTCCTCACTGTGGGACGAATTAATCTTAATCTTAATCTGAAATGTCTCCATTGTGAGATGCTTTTCTTCCACATTCGGAGCCGTTACCTGGACTGCCAGGGAGTGATGACCCCATCGTCTGGTCCTCCAATCAGCACCAGCTTCTTAATCTTCAGGAAGTTCTTTTTCCACTCTGCCACAAAACACAGGAAGAAAAACAGCTTTATACGAGAAAACCAAACCGTAGGACTTTACAAACTTGTCCCGTCGTCAACAACAGATTAGAAAATCAATCTAATCTTAACAAAAAAATCAATAATAACACAAACAAGTCCATATTTAGTTTTTCCAGTATATTAAACCAATGTCCATGAATGAATGTTAATAAAAGTTAGGATTCAGAAGCAAAACTAAACTCTAGGTTCACAAAAATATGCAGTCACTTTGAGCGTCTGGTGTCTGTACGGAGCTCTCCAAAGTGTAGAGACGGTACAGACTTGTGAAGAGCAAACAGGGGAGTAGTTTTTCAGACCTGTGGCGTTGGGACTCGGCTTCTCTCCGTTGAGCAGAGCCAGGTAGTCGCTGCTGTTCACGTACAGGTCTCGGTGATGCGGGTCTGAGACAAAAGACATTTACATTAAAACAGGAGTGAGAACTTTTGCAGATTCAGTCCGGCTCCTTCTAGAATCAGCTTTTGGTGTTTTAGCCTTTGTTCAATCCATTTCAGAGAAGCTCCAAGTTTCATCAAGTCAAATACAGGACTTCATTCGCTTGTCTTACTTATTTAGTTTTAGTTTAGTATGTTTAAAGGAGCAGTGTGTAAACATGTGGTCTAAAGTGGTACTGCAGCCTCTCCCACTCTCCCTGACTCAGGTTGCCAGATATGCAGACAAATCCAGCTGGGACCATAACAGCTGAATAGACAAGAGTTTTGTCAACAACAAATCTATAACCAACACCTTTTTCACAAAGATAGAAATCCTGGTTTTATTCCTTGTTTTGTCGTTAATGATTTGAGAATCATAACGAGACCTTTTTTAGTTCTGCGCCACATGGTACTTTACCAGTGAAATTAGCTCCATGCGGTGAGTTCTGGCGCCCGGATCACAGACTTTCTGATTGGTGAAACGGTGGAGGGCGGGACATCGAAATGAAAACAATAACAAGATTTAGAGGCTGGAAAAGTAATTCTGAGAAAGTAATTAATCTTTATTTATACACCGCCTCCACACAGAGATGGAGCAGGTCGCCTACAGGGGGCACATGTCAGAACTATTGTGCATGTTTTTAGTGGCAGAGGAAACCGGAGCACCTGGAGGGAACCTTGGCAGCCTACTCTAACATCTCCTTCGTCTTGTAAACGTCTTCCTCCAGCCTCAGATTCTCACCGTTCCAGTAGTTACAGATGGAGATCCTCTGTCCGAAGCCGGTGTAGCAGACGTGGAACAGGTTGGACTTTACAAACTGTGGGAACAGGTACTTCAGGTAATCTGTGTCTGAGAGAGAAACACACACAGGTGAAGCTCCAGGACCACGTCAGGGAAACGAACCCATGACTGAACCCACCTCCGTATTGTCCGGCCTGCGGAGACGACAGCGAGATGAAGGAGCGGACGTTGTGATCTGGCAACGTGGACAGAATCCCGCGACAGACGAGACCTCCTGCCAGTCACAGATTAGATTAGATTATTGTGGTTTGAGGAAGTAGAGGCTGCGTTAATCCACATTTATCTCTGTATTATTCACTTATGACTGAATTACAGGATTTTGAATCACATTTCACATAAATAATGTTCTGGTTCTCATTTGTAACACGGGAAATGAGAGATCGTACACTGCAGAATATGTCGGTTTGTTTGGACCGTTTTAAAGCTGGGGGACCTTACTTTGTTTCATACATAAAGTTAGAAAGAGTTTTGTAAAAGTTAAATGTTGGGAACAAATCAGACCACACAACATCCTGTTTTTATCTTATTAGAAATCATGGCACCCTCTGAGCCGCTTTTTGACACTTTTGGCCGAGAGCTGATTGGCTGAGAGCTGATTGGCTGAGAGCTGATTGGCTGAGAGCTGACTGGCAGAGAGCTGATTGGCTGAGAGCTGATTGGCTGAGAGCTGATTGGCTGAGAGCTGATTGGCAGAGAGCTGACTGGCTGAGAGCTGATTGGCTGAGAGCTGATTGGCAGAGAGCTGATTGGCTGAGAGAGAGTGGTCCCCTCTTTTGAACTTTTCTGTCTTAAAAAAGCCAAACATACACGAATCTTAAAACTAGTGATGGAACCAAACTGATTGTATCATAACACAGTGGATTTTAGGTAGCCCAGCTTTAATATTTGACGTCCATGTTATAAGTATACATTTCTCAGTGATCAAAGCAGTCAGAGCTGAAGCAGGAAATGGTGTTGGATCGAGTCCCAGAGCTCGGGACTGACATGGATTTTACTGCATACTGTAGATCCATTTTGACTGGTTTGAAAGTTAGGTACCCCAGCTTTAAAATAACATTTGCGGATGAGAAATTGCCTTTTATAAGATGAAATTTCTTTCTTGCTTACAGAAGGTCAATATCACAAGTTAATTTTGAAAAAACAATATCTCAGTTTATAAAATGGGTCGTATTCCTCTCGTTACGATCTTCCACATATTGTTAGTGTGAGATTTCATAACACTTTTAAGCAACTTTTGTTAAAGTTAAACTCATCATTCTATCAATGTGCAGAAGCCAGTACTTTTCCCTTGTTTTGTCTATCTGAAGGCCAAGCTACATGGCACTGTGGCAGCTGCTGATTGGAGGTCTCCATGCCAACGCTCTGTATAATACACTTGCATTCTGTTGTATCTGTGTTCGTGCTGTCTCTACCATCGACAATAAAACATGTCTTCTGTCTGAATGAAAGACACGATCCCAGACATGTCATCTTCTTCATTAGTAAGTAATGTTTATTTATATAGCGCCTTTCTCAGACCAAAGTCAAAGCAGCACAGACCTATTGTACATGTTTTTAGTGGTGGGGAAACCGGAGCACCCGGAGGAAACCTACGCAGACACAGGGAGAACATGCAAACTCCACTCAGAAAGGCCCTGTTCCGACCAGGATTCAAACTCAGGACCTTCTTGCTGAGAAGCGAGAGTGCTATCCGCCCGAAAGTATATTTGTTAATGACAGGTTTGGCATTCTTTATAAGGCACTAAAGTAGATCTGGGTAAAGAGCAGATTGTAAGTTTTTAAAGCGTTTTCCTCGGATGGCGTTGGGTTCATACACTTGTGTTGTTTTTCAATGTGAGGGTAAAGTCTGACCTTGAGAGTAGCAGATGAAGTGCACTCCGTCTGCAGCGTTTTGCATGATGGGATAAACGGCAGCTTTGAACCCTTCCACCTGTGTCCACATGGGTTCAAGACTCGCACTGCGGTCGAACAGGTCGATCACCGTCACGTTGGTCCCAGGATGAGACTGAGAACACAGACGGAAAGACTGAATGAGTTTAGTTCAGACAGTGACAGTGAAGTGGTTGGGACCCGGGCGTCGGGCTGTACCCAGGGCCCAAGGCGGGGCCTCTGCAGTGTACATTTAAACACACCGTCTCATTCAGAGTTTTTTACTTTCATGATTATAAATATTGTAGATTGACACTGAGGGCATCAAACCTATGAATGAACTCGTGTGAATTATGTTCGTAGTAAAAAAGTATGATCCATCCATCCATTTTCTTCCCCTTAATCCATTTCTGGGTCGGGGGGGTGGCCAGCGATGCCACCCAGTCACAGAGCACCAGCCCCTCACTGATCCTCCTGCAGGTGCTGAGTCCACAGGAGCTGAGATCTTTCAGTGGGGGCTTTGGGCAAAGTGGGGTTAAGTGTCTTGCCCAAGGACACAACGACAGCAGTCATCAGTGGGAGTCATGAAGTAGGTCTTACGGTGGGTTCGAACCCACAACCTTCAGGCTCAAAGGCCAATGCTCTACCAACTGAGCAGCTGTCGCCCCCTATGCAAATGCAAAGTATGAACCAAGTGTAAATAATTTTTTGAACAGCCCCAAACCACAACAGCTCGAAGTTGTTGATTCATCAACAACAGATCAGAGAATCAAACTGCTTCGAAACACAGGAAATGCAATAATAACAAACACACAGGAGACATTTTTCCAAAGGGAGCGGGATAAACACGGTCCATAAATGTCGTCTCTAGTCCCTCTTGCATCTTCCATGAACAACAGGTAAGAAAAGAAATATATAACAGTGGAACTACAGTGAGAAGCCTCGGGCAGCTCCTGGATCTATGGCCTCAGTCCCATCCCCGAGGGTCTAGATCCAGGTCTGAGCCAATCCAAATGACTGTTATTGTCTAAAACTACAAACAGAACTGATCTTAAACACGGAGCAATGGGAATAATTCTGTTTTTCTTTAACAAATTGAGAATAATCGTCTCACTGTGGGTAATGTCAGTGTCATTGTTGCACATTACAGCAGAGAAAGAAGAAAACAAGCCTCAGACGCACACATCAGAGTCGATTATTTAAGATCATAGACAATATAATTAAAATAAGATAAAGAATAAAATAAAATACACTCTGCAGCTATAATGTCACTTGGTTCAGAAGTATTTACAGATGTGTTTATTTTACTTTAGCAGCAGAGAATATGAGCAGAATAAACATCAGTAATAATACCAGCGGGTAAAGTGACTGGCAGAAGTATCAGATGGATCTGTAATATTAATAATAATAATAATAATAATAACAGTAAAGTGACTGGTGTGTATGAGGTGATAGTGGTAGAAGAGTCATGTGACGGAGCTGATGCCTTCAGTTCATATCTCTGTGTGAAGAATGGAAACCATCCCAGCGGCTGTGACAGAGTGAAGTGATGAGTCCGTTTTAACAAGACTCAGAACCATAAAATCAATGTCGAGTAGCAGCTGAAATCCAACACCTCTGCTGTCTCTGATCAGTGAACATGACCATAGACTGTATATATATTAATGGACAGAGTCAGGCCTATCTCCGCCGTTCTAACTGGAGCTATTCAAAATGGCCGCGAGTGGTCCCGCCCACAAGAAAATTGTGAAAAAACGCATCTGCGCAGCTCCATTCATTTGAACGAGAGACTTCAAAAGTCCACAGCGACTAAACTAGACTGGTCCAGAACACTCAGCATTGACACACATGTGGAACGGAGCTTTGGGCCAAGAGACAACTTTAGGTCCATCCTGTGAAGACGTTTTCCAGAGGTAAGAAGATGCTATATGTTAGCATTGGCTAATTCTTCTTCTGGGTCCACCCCCACAGGCCCGGGGTGGTATTGCAGCATGTCAGCACCACCCCCACAGGCCCGGGGTGGTACTGCAGCATGTCAGCACCACCCCCACAGGCCCGGGGTGGTATTGCAGCATGTCAGCACCACCCCCACAGGCCCGGGGTGGTATTGCAGCATGTCAGCACCACCCCCACAGGCCCGGGGTGGTACTGCAGCATGTCAGCGCACGTCATTTTGGCCACTTTTGAGCCGGGACCCGCCCACACTGACCATGACATGCTTTTCCTCTTTTCAAACCACTTCCTGTAGTTTTACACATGATTTAAAACTACAGTAGGGCGGCAGTAGCTCAGTTGGTAGAGCGTTGGCCTTTGAGCCAGAAGGTCGTGGGTTCAAGCCCCGCTCAAGACTTTCACCATCGACTCCCTCTGTCTGCTGTTGTTGTGTCCTTGGGCAAGACACTTAACCTCTGGGAACACCAGCCACAGTGGGGCGGCTGCGGCTGTAAAGTGCCAAACTGTGGTTGTGTCCTTAGGCAAGACACTTCACCCCCATTGCCTAGAATGAGTCTGGTGTGTGTGTGAATGGTTGGTGGTGGTCGGAGGGGCCGATGGCACAAACTGGTTGCCTCGCTTCTGTCAGTGTGCCCCAGGGCAGCTGTGGCTACAGTAGCTTATCACCACTGTGTTTGGAGTGAATGAATAATGACATGTGAAGAGACTTTTAGTGTCCAGAAAAGCGCTGTATAAAACCGATGCATTATTATTTAACTTTAAGTTTTATGTCGCTCTTTTCACATGACGTGGACCTTGTTCTTATATAATTCTAGTTGTGGAAAACCAAAATGGCCACCGGCTTCATTCATGTTCTTGGTTTTTCTGCTGTACTTTAGTAGTTCTCACCAAAATGTAGATTCAGTTTTGACAAAGGAAAGTCCAAACACCAGAGTTACTGCAGAGGTTTGTAAACAGAAAGTACCGTTTCCCAGGGACAGTTTTTTCAAAGCATCAATAATGACATTAGATTCTATTGATTATCAAAAGAATAGTTGGTTACAGCTGCAGCAAAGGGTGTAGGGTCAGAGAGTGTTGTGTCTGTGTGTTGTCAGGGTGATTGTGTGTCTTGCTTTATCGGTGTACAAAAGGTATGTGGTTAGGCAAGGTACGTTTAATGGTTCATACACAAGAGAACTCAATGTGCTTAACAACACAACACAGAAACACTGGACAGACTGGATTTTAATAAGAAGAAGCCTGACTCACATTCTCAGCCGGAATTTTATCTGAAACTCTGCCTCGCTATGTTTAGTCCTGACTCTGGGACCAGCAGGAGTCCAGTCCCTGTGCTCCTCAGAGTCCCAGCATGAGGCCAGTCCCTGTGCTCCTCAGAGTCCCAGCAGGAGTCCAGTCCCTGTGCTCCTCAGAGTCCCAGCAGGAGTCCAGTCCCTGTGCTCCTCAGAGTCCCAGCAGGAGGCCAGTCCCTGTGCTCCTCTGAGTCCCAGCAGGAGGCCAGTCCCTGTGCTCCTCATAGTCCCAGCAGGAGTCCAGTCCCTGTGCTCCTCAGAGTCTCAGCAGGAGGCCAGTCCCTGTGCTCCTCAGAGTCCCAGCAGGAGGCCAGTCCCTGTGCTCCTCTGAGTCCCAGCAGGAGTCCAGTCCCTGTGCTCCTCAGAGTCCCAGCAGGAGTCCAGTCCCTGTGCTCCTCTGAGTCCCAGCAGGAGGCCAGTCCCTGTGCTCCTCATAGTCCCAGCAGGAGTCCAGTCCCTGTGCTCCTCAGAGTCCCAGCAGGAGGCCAGTCCCTGTGCTCCTCAGAGTCCCAGCAGGAGGCCAGTCCCTGTGCTCCTCTGAGTCCCAGCAGGAGGCCAGTCCCTGTGCTCCTCATAGTCTCAGCAGGAGGCCAGTCCCTGTGCTCCTCAGAGTCCCAGCAGGAGGCCAGTCCCTGTGCTCCTCAGAGTCTCAGCAGGAGGCCAGTCCCTGTGCTCCTCAGAGTCCCAGCAGGAGGCCAGTCCCTGTGCTCCTCAGAGTCCCAGCAGGAGGCCAGTCCCTGTGCTCCTCAGAGTCCCAGCAGGAGGCCAGTCCCTGTGCTCCTCAGAGTCCCAGCAGGAGGCCAGTCCCTGTGCTCCTCAGAGTCCCAGCAGGAGGCCAGTCCCTGTGCTCCTCAGAGTCTCAGCAGGAGGCCAGTCCCTGTGCTCCTCAGAGTCCCAGCAGGAGGCCAGTCCCTGTGCTCCTCAGAATCCCAGCAGGAGGCCAGTCCCTGTGCTCCTCAGAATCCCAGCAGGAGGCCAGTCCCTGTGCTCCTCAGAATCCCAGCAGGAGGCCAGTCCCTGTGCTCCTCAGAGTCCCAGCAGGAGGCCAGTCCCTGTGCTCCTCAGAGTCCCAGCAGGAGTCCAGTCCCTGTGCTCCTCAGAGCACTGGACTAATGTGATGTGGGAGTATATGTATTTTATTATGTACTGCTTTGTTTTTTAATTCTACTGCATAATATTGTTATGATGATATGTGTGATAATCATGGATCTATTATAATAACGGTGATAATGTGTTGTGCAGGTTCAAAATAAATATTTTGAATCACATTGAAAGCTTTACATGTTTATATATAAGAGCATCACGTGACATATCATACTGCACGTGCATGACTCAAAAGCATGACGTAAAGAGTCAGGGTCTTGGTTTTATCTCCAGGACAGAATGTACCGCCACCTTTCTATGTTTTCCCCAGTTTAGTCAATTATCTGTTTGCCTTATTATAAGTATCTATATGTCCTCACGTCACTGTACACATGCAGGGACCACTCACCTCGTTGATAAATCGTTGTAAATTCTTAAAATCTCCAGAACTATCAAACAACCCGTGGACGATCACCACCGGTTTGTAGGCGACCACTGAAGCCCAGAGACAAGCCCCGAGCAGCGGCCACAGCAGCCTGCTCCCCCCGCTGCTCCTCTCCGCTCCGTCCCTCATGACTCCAGCAGCGAAAGTCAATTCTAATCTAATTCAAGCCTTGACGAATCAGAAAAATCACATTAAATTATGTTAGTGGCTAATTCTGGCCACGCTCCAGACGTACACATCCAATTTAATATTTTTGGCGTGTGGGAAAAATATTAAACGAGGCAAAAACGAAATAAAAGGATAAAATATGTAAAGAGTCCGGTGTTGTTGACCCACGTCTGCGTTCTGCTTGTTTTTGTTTGGCACTTCCGGGTTTGGCAGCGCGAAGCAGTGACGTCACAGTCTATGGTAAAAAGATGAAAGAAATACTTATAAATTGATATAGATTTTATGAAGTTATTATTATAGCGCCGTGAGTAATACCCACAGGTCATATTTTTATGTCTTTCTCTGTTATCATCGTTTACGTTTGATTCATAGACTGTAAATATTAAAAAGAGGTGGCGCCGTTTTAATTTAAATAAATTAATAAAAATACAGAATGCTAAAGTTAAAGATTTTATATCATTTTATGCAAATCTTAGACATTTAATCTCGTGTTTAATTTAGATATTTTATTTGATGCTAAAATTAGATATTTTACTTTATACAACATTGACATTTCCCTCTGTGGGACTAATGTTTTATCTGTCTGTTAAATTGGACCCAGAGTCTGTGATAAAGATGAATGGAAAAGAATTGCTTCGTAAAAAAATAAAAATGTAAAAGTTGACAGAAGTTACTCTGCAAATGTCAAAACAAGAAAGTTCCGCAGGTCTTTCCATCCTGCTGCTGTCAGACTGTACGACGAGAACTGCTGAGCCTGTACATAATACACTAGCCACTTTAGCCGCTACTATTGTTACTATTATTAATTCTGGTCACTTCTAAGTACAATATAACCCAACTGTAAATGTGCGATTATAGCTCAAAAAGTCCATTATTATTGCACTTTCTGTTCAAGACACTCAAAGATCATGGAACCAATCAGTCAGTCATCAGACAGAGGGGGCGAGGCGGGTTAAGTGTCTTGCCCAAGAGCACACAGCAGCAGTCACCAATGGGAGTTGGTTTCACACCTGTCGATCTAAGTTATTTTATCATCCCCAATAATGTTATTTCTTCTGTAATCTGCACAACGATCACATTTCACCAAAGTTTCTCTTATCTTGGTTATTTTTATTCATTTATTTGTACAAAAAGACAACAATGACATTCAAAGGGGAAACAACTGTAACAGAGTCAGTGGTTCATTTGTTATTTGCAGGATTTGAATTCTGAAATGAAATAGTTTATGCGACTTCCTGTACGCTTGTGTCTTGCATCCAAACCATGTCCACATTTTTGATTTGACGCTGAACATCAAAAGAATGGCTTATCTTCATAGACTGTAAAAGGACATTATCGCTATATTACAGTCTATGCTTCTATCCGTCAGACCTGTGGGTATAGAACTAATGAAACCCTTGGAAAACAAAGAAAAAGGTAGTGTTGTCATAAGCGAGAATAATATGAATATCTTAAGTAAAACATTTGACTTTGAAGTGTTATGACAAGACCCCCCAATGTAAGATGGCAACACAAACCCGACACACAAAGCTATACAATAATTCTATACATTAACGCTGGAGTGAGAGACGCAAAGCATCGGGTTCATGGACATTGAGACATTCATACGAAGTTTTAGCAAATTACAAAAGTTAAATCATTACAAACTCTGTCGAACCGTCTCCGCTCAGGCCCAATGTAACAAAAGTCAGACATTTAACAGGTCCATTAAATCCCTTAAGAGTTCAAAAGGCAAAGAGCGAAAAATGCTGGTGGATTTGTCCAAGAATCAATTTTTTGGTTCACAAAATAGTTTTTTTTTTACATGCCGAGTTTCGAAGGCATTTGTGTGGATTTGAACCAAAACCTAAAAACCACAACATTTGGTTTTGAGTAGTTTTAGGTTCAAACGGCAGCATTTAAGCCCAAAACTGAAGCAGAAATAGTGAAACAGATACAAACGCACGATACCGTACAGCGCAGTAAAACATTTGGCTTTTGAAAAAAAAGTAAATGGGGCAAAAATTGATTAAAAAACCCCCAAAAACGTAGTGTTCTGGATTCAGCATTTTACATTTTGATTTATATTTAAAGCTGGAGTCAATGTAATACGTGTAGAACCTTAAACCAGTCCAAAGCCAACTCTACTTAAAGCTGCGGTCCCTAACTTTATTCTTTCATGCATAGTTCAGGCTGTTTGTCCCATAGGAAGTCCTGTAAAAGTGAAAGTGAGACAGGAAAATCCCACAGACACTTTGGGCAGAGCTGATGGGGGCGGGAGGAGCTAAATAGATGGATTTAATTATTTTTAAAGTGCTTTGGCTGAGCTTAATCTGTGAATTGCGCAATATAAATAAACATTACCGACTTGTTATTGTTCCTCGCTGACGCAGGGAGGTCAGACACATTTACAAACATTTCTGGACTTGGCTCCAATGTGTGTTTTTATCATTTGATTTCCTGTGCTTGATTTTCTAACCTGCTATTGGCGAATCGACAACTTTGTAAAGTCCTCCGAGTCCTTTCAGATCCATTTACTTTGGTACAGCCCATATTCACACCTGTAGTTTCCTCGCAGGACTTTACGAAGCTGTCGAACTCAAACCTGACAATTCCATTTACTTCAGTTGGAAAGTTAGGTACCTCAGCTTTAATATGGACTCTACCAAAACAAACTCCACTCGCTCCTTGATCACAAACCGTCGCATCAGCTCAGAGGCCTGTGCCATGTGACATCACAACATTACATCTTTGCCGGTAACCAACGGCAACGGGTCACTTCTGTCTGACTCTCACGTCTAGTTTTTTGCAGTGTTGTTTTCAAAGAGGGTCCCTCTCTCCTCAGGGTCCGGGTCCGGATCCGGGTCCAGGCTCCACCATCTCTCTCCTCAGGGTCCGGGTCTGGGTCCGGGTCAGGGTCCGGGTCCGGGCTCCACCATCTCTCTCCTCAGGGTCCGGGTCTGGGTCCGGGTCAGGGTCCGGGTCCAGATCCGGGTCCAGGCTCCACCATCTCTCTCCTCAGGGTCCGGGTCTGGGTCCGGGTCAGGATCCGGGTCCAGGCTCCACCATCTCTCTCCTCAGGGTCCGGGTCTGGGTCCGGGTCAGGGTCAGGGTCCGGGTTCCACCATCTCCTGCAGCTCGCACAGCGTGGCGTTCACGGTGGCGGCCATGGTCTCGGCGTTGGTCTCCTCGCAGCAGTTGAAGGCGGTGATGGAGAAGTGCACGTGGTCGGCCTGAGGGTTGTAACAGACGGCGTAACCGTCCGGAACCAGCGGCCCGAAACACATCACGCTGTCGGTGTTGGCGGGAACCTGCGAGGAACACCAGGAAACCATCAGTTACTATTTCATGGTTTTGTTTTTTTACATATAACATACATGTGCGAGAAATGAGATCCTGTACTTTTCCCACAGCGGGGAAATGTCAGTGTTGCATCAGCAGATAAATGAACAATAACTCTAGACTAGAATAGAATTAAATAAAATCTATAACTTTAAAAATGAAGCAAGAAAAAAAACTATCTGTAGCGTAAAAAGCAAATCTAAGAAACAAGAACAACATCTGACTTTATCAAAATAAAGAATAATAAAGAAGTGAGCACAGGGACTGGCCCCCTGCTGGTCATCTGAACATCTGAAACAGTCTTCCTGAAAATGTGAGACAGGCTTCTACTCTGACAACGATCAAATCCAGGTTGAAAACAGTTCTTTGTTAATGTGCAAATGTGTGATTTTAGGTAAACACTTATAGCACGGTTCATTCACAAGGCAACTCAAATAAACTGGCCTTGTCTACATTGATAAACGTTGTTGTGTTTTAACAAGAAAAATCAACACGTCCATCTAGTGGTAGAAGTGAGAAATGACATGCTGCAAGATTTAGATCTAAATCCAACATGTTGCAGCCTCAATAAAAGGCAAAGACATAAACAATGTGTTTATGTCCCCCCCCCCCCGACCCAGAAATGGATTAAGGAGAAGAAAATGGATAGATGGGTATTACTGATATTTCTTTTGACATGAAATATAAATCTTTCCTGAAGCCATGAGACTGCTAATACTGCGAATACTGTTCTGAACATCTGCTGGAGGTACGTAAGAATTTCACTGACTGTAACGTGTGTGACCAACGACAAACCAGAGACAAACATGTATTTACAAACTGAGCGGCGGAAAGTCCCAGAGGCAGTAAACGCATCACATGACTCTGAGTTACGAGCAAAAGAACAAAGAGACATTGTACTGATACTTTTACACAGAACATTTGTGATTTTGAATAATTAATATCACGTATTGTTTAAACTCTGACACAATCGTCTGTAAAACACAGAATACCAAATGTTCTCAATGTGGAATATCTTTTAAGGAGAATTAATATGAAAACTGTAGCACGTGATTTAGACAGAGCTGAGGGCTGAGCTTGTGCAGAATGAAGCCAAAAAGTCTAATCAGTGCCCGTGGATGGAGCTAAAAACGACTCCAGGTCTAAGGCTAAAGAGTGTGAAGTTAGGACGGCATAATTCACGAACCTGCTTCTTTACACGCTTTACCTTATTATAGATAGATGCAGTTGTTGCTTCATAGTGAATCCATAAAGAACGATTATAAAGCCTCTCTTTGCAGAAGTGAATCATTTCTGGTAGACTTTAATATAAATCCAAAAATGCCGCATGACATAATAAAACTGGAGATTTTCCCAGGACCCGCTGGAAGAACCATGTCTCTCTCTGGGACCGCCTCGGGTCGCCCAGGATGAGCCTGAGGAAGTGTGTGTGGAGAGGGAAGTCTGGGCTGCCCCCGTGACCCAGCAACGGATGAAGCGGAAGAAAATGGATGGATGCAGAATTTCCCGAGACACAATTAGAGCAACTACAAAGAGAGTGAAGCTAACACTGCCTGATTACCAACCCTGCTTCTTTACCCTGTCCTAACCTTCAAAGCCTTAAACATGAAGAAGACATCATCAACTTTTTATAACTCCAGGTCTGAAATGAATGCGGAAAATCTCCAAATGGACTATTTAGCACCAGGAAGCACCAGGAAGCATTAGGAAGCATCAGGAAGCACCAGGAAGCATTAGGAAGCATCAGGAAGCACCAGGAAGCACCAGGAAGCATTAGGAAGCATTAGGAAGCATCAGGAAGCACCAGGAAGCACCAGGAAGCATCAGGAAGCATCAGGAAGCACCAGGAAGCATTAGGAAGCATCAGGAAGCACCAGGAAGCACCAGGAAGCATTAGGAAGCATCAGGAAGCACCAGGAAGCACCAGGAAGCACCAGGAAGCACCAGGAAGCAAGCACCAGGAAGCATCAGGAAGCACCAGGAAGCACCAGGAAGCACCAGGAAGCACCAGGAAGCACCATGTCTCTGTCTAAGTGAGTGTGTGTACCTGTCCCGTGCGCAGCTTCCAGTGCGTGGCCAGTCCGTAGGCCGTGTCCATGAAGACCTTGGGGATGCTCAGGCCCTGCTCTATGGCCTGCAGCTTCAGACCCAGCAGGTGGCGGTCCACACCGTGTCCTTTCAACGCCTGGACCAGAGACCAGAGACCGTTTAATGTATTAATTTATAACTATTACATGTTTATTGGACAAACTATAGGACATGACTAATAATAAATGTAACAGCAGAGGTTGCATGATTTTAGATTAAAAAATAAATAAATATTGCAATGAATATTTAAGTCTAATTTTCAGAGTAAAAACAACAACTTCAATAGTGCTAGAGAACCAATTGTTTGCACCTGTTTTTTCATTAATGTGTTAATGAATTTTTTTTTTTTTTAACAGCCTCTTTATTCTTGTGTTTCATGAACCTGGCCTGTAGGGGGCGCATGAGCAGAGGTGGGACAGTAGCTCCCATTGAAAACCATGTAAAGTCTGTTTTGGAGTCAAAGGCTCTCCTCCTGTGCGGTGTACGGTTGTTGGAACAGTCTTAATCGGGGACACTCAATTCTAAGGCAGCACTAACAAATACATATTAAAAAAAGTCTTGATTTCGGGCATTTTTGGAAAAAACAGAAGAAATCACTGCGTTTCATTGGGGTGGCCTGCAGGGGGCGCTTATCTGGGAAAGCCTTGATCCACCTCCGCCTCATTCCAGTGATTTTTCCAAAGTGTCCTTTATATGAGACACAGTTGGAACATGAACAAACTCTGGTCTTTCTCTGTTTGTGCGGTTGCTACAAACATTCACCGCACACAAAGATGGTGTTTTGACAGCGCTTCTTCTACTATATCTCCGTGTATAAACCACTTCTACTAGAAGAACCACTTCTTATTCACCACTGCCCTGACGTCATATGAAACCCAAGGATAACCATCGCAGAGCGGCTGAGGTTAGCGATGAGGAGCTCAGGATAGAGCCTCTTCCACTGTCAAGTCAAAATTCATTAAACTCTGCCACAGCATGATAAACTGTTTTACTATTTCCCCGACCCTCGAGTGTGGTACAGTATGAGTTCTGTTTGTGTTTCATGTCCTAATGATTTTCTGCCGTCAGTAAAATGTATTATTATTTTAAGGGTACATTTAATCCCTACATAAACTTTAGGCCATCTTCATCATTTCTCTAATTTACGAAAAGCCTCCATCTCTTTTCACTTATAAGTTATTAATAATTAAGATTTCAAAATTGAGCTTTTCATGAAAAAACTCAAGGCGCCTAAAGGGTTGTTGAGTGTTGTTTAGACACAGTAGACCTCCAAAGTGAGGCCCACAGATTTGAGACTAGTTTGGAAGAATAATAAACTATACTAAGAAACTAAGAAAATATCGTAAATACAACTTCTGTAATATTTGGCAGTACCAGATCAGTCAGAGCGACGTAGGCCTCCACCGCCTCTCGGAATAACTGCAGCTTCACTTCTCTCTGCAACACACACACACACACTTTAGAGTACAGACTGTCAGCAGGAAGGACGGAGGAATATGGCCCGTTCCTCTCACCGACACAGAGGGGTCGTCGAAGGCCAGCACAAAGGCCAGCGCCTCTTTGGTCGGCGAGCGGATGTACTCGGTCAGACCTCCTCTGAACATCCTCTGGGACGCCATGTCACAGGACGCACACACCTCACTGTGGACTCTACACACACACACACACACACACAAACAACAACACTAAGAATGATCTCACAGCTTTCAGTATTTAGAGAACAGGTGGTAAATGCAAGTGAGTTGTTAGAGCCATGTACTGTTAGTGAACTATCGGTGTTATACAAACCGAACCAATATCTGACATTTAAACACATTTATGGACTTTGGTCTCTGCCCTTTGTGTGTTTTGATTATTGCATTTCCTGTGTTCTGTTTGATTCTCTGATCTGTGGTTTCGGAAAGTCCTCTGAGAACCACCTTTGGACCGAGAGCCACTTTTGGACCAAGAGCCACTTTTGGACCGAGAGCCACTTTTGGACCAAGAGCCACTTTTGGACCAAGAACCACTTTTGGACCAAGAACCACTTTTGGACCATCCTGTGACGAGGTTTCGAGAGGAAAGAAGACAGCATACAAAAGCATTGGGTAATTCTCTTTCCGGGTACACCCCCACAGGCCCAGAGTGGTATTGCAGCATGTCCGCGCATATGCTCTTGGACCTTTTTAAGCCGGGACCCGCCTACACGGGTGGCACCACTTGCATGTGAAGCTAAGCAGGACTGGACCTGGTTAGTGATGTGATGGGGGAACACCTGGTGCCACAGTGGGGCTGCTGTAAAATGCCAAACTGTGGTTGTGTTCATGGGCAAGACACGTCACCCACATTTCCGAGAGAGTCTTGTGTGAGAATGGTTGGTGGTGGTTTGGTGCCTATTGCATGGACTGGTCTCGCATCGGTCAGTCTGCCCCAGGACAGCTGTGGCTAAAGTAGTAGTGTAGTATGTGTAGTAGTGTATGGAGTGAATAAAACCATGTGAAGTGTCTCTGAGTGTCCAGAAAGGCACTTTATAAAACCAACGCCAATATTAATACCATGATACATATATAGAAAAACGTATTTTCTGAGACTGACTCACCTGTAGTAGGAGAGCTGCAGCGCCACCTGGATGAAGGCGTTTGGACTCATCTTGTTTCTCTTCGGCAGCTCTTTCCCAAACCTCTTAAAGTTAAAGACGTTCACATCCAGGTCATTTATCAGTCTGAAGGAGAGAACAGCTTTACATCAGTGCTTTACAACGCATTTGGTTTCATCTTTTCACTGTTTTATCAGAAAAAAAAACATACATTTATAAGATTTTCTGTTGTTTTTTCATGCGATCCCAGCTCAGAGTTTAAAATCACATCTCTTAGCATTTGATCCACTCGATAAACAATCTCGAGTCTGTCATGGAGCAGTAAACGTTGATCTTAAAAGCTGTTAATACTCACTGCACTAACTTCTACTTTTCTAGTTTGTGGACTAATATATGTGTCTTTAATCTTTACATCTTTCCCGGAGCCTGCCTCAGAAACTAGCTTTGTCGCTAAAACGTTTACAGGATGTTCATTCATGTTGTCCCTGTTCAAATAAAACAAATAAACCACTGAAACAGAAATACAGACTTGCTTCTTTCTTACATGTCCAGGTTTTGCTTGGCGAGCTCGATGTCCCTCTTGATTTCCCGATCGATGTAGAAATACAGTTTTTTGGGCATGGGCAGCGGCACCAGAGGAGCTCTCTTTGGGTCTGGCTTCTCACTATAACACAGACAGGAAGTGAATGTAAAACGCTGTTGTGAGTCTGTTTGTGTGAATAATACAAACTCACCAGTACTCCAGGACGTGATGCAGCAGATTGGCCACCGGGGGGCCCTCTGCTGTGGCCTGTTCATACAGCAGCCCCCACGACCCATCTTCACCAACCACAAACTGAAACACACGACATTCATCGCCATGTCAGCATTTCACACAAATACAAAAAGGACAAAAAACAATAATTGCCAAATAAACAATCACAATTCTTTTTGTTTTTTTTGTTTGATGTCCTCTGAAGTTGAACCTTGAGCATTTTAAATATCTTCAGGAATAATTGTTAAAGTCTCTGCAGGGACATTTGCCTCAGGCTCACACTGGTGTTGGAAACAAACCATCATCCATCCATCCGTTTTCTTCCCCTTAATCCATTTCTGGGTCGGCCCCTCACTGATCATGCCATAATGCTGCACAGTCCCATCAGTGCAATGACACAAAGTAATGCACGAGTAAAAGACCACAGATGGAAACAGTATTTACACAATAAGCAACAAAGTGCATACAGTCACTAAAGTGCTAGTGCGGTGCAAGATGTACACTGTGTTTGGGCAGATGCAGTTTGTTTGAGACAGACTTCTACTCTGACAATATCCAGCTTAAACAGTTCCGTTTAGCCGAACATGTATCTATAGATTTTATCAGCCATGTTCCTGTTTCATTAAGCACTTTTGAGTTGCCTTAAAGCTGCACTATCTGACTTTGGGATTTTGAAGCCGCAGACTCTCTGGCCTCGCTCTTTCTGCTCCCCTCCCCGCACCCACGAAGCTATCGCCCCCACACACACCCACTGTTGGGACGGAGCTAGCGTCTCTCAATATGGATAATACATGGATATGGATTTACACGTGGATGGCGTGACTATAGAACGATAGAACCGGGAAGCGCGGAGGAACGAGACTTTCTTTTGGATGGCTGTCTCGCTGTATAAGCAGTAACCGGTGACGAAGACACGAAGCTTCAGGTTAGCTCCGCCGCTTGTTGTGCTAACTCAGCCGTCTGTGCTAACGGACCTGTAGATTTCTCACGAAAGTGGGGGCTAGTGATCCGCTGTGATTGGTCACAATCTGAGACCCGAAACACATTCTCTTCCTTGTTTCATCAAAACTCGATCTAAAATATAATGTCACGCCAGCACAAATCTGCACTACTTTTTCTTCAAAAGGACGTATATCCCAATGCCCTACACGGACATGGACAGCATTTTAGTAATTAATACAAAAATAAAGTCAGTTAGTGCAGCTTTAAGTATGAACTAAAACATATATTAATTGCGTTGGGAATATTGGATATATTTAGTCAGTATGAGTTAATGAAGCCCGGCTGCAGACTCACCTGAAGAGTTTTATCAAACCATCGATTTCCGCTGTTTGAAAAAGTCCCACCTCCATGAAGCACCTGAGCAGCTTTACGACTGGCGTATCTGAGAATTAAACATAAAACACTTTGGTATTTTTGCATTAGGAAGTTTGAACACATTTAGAGTTTAGACATAAGGACCTCGCTCATCTGCCCTTAACCTTTAACACTTCTGTCTTTTACACAATTCTGAGTGATTCTGTCGGTGCCAAATGTGACGTGTACATTTCTCCATCAGAGATCAATAAAGTTTATAACAATAATAATAATAATAATAATAATAATAATGCATAGGTTTTATACAGCGCCTTTTTGGACACTCGTTATGTCATTATTCTTTCTCTCCAAACACAGCGGTGATAAACTACTGTAGCCACAGCTGCCCTGGGGCACACTGACAGAAGCGAGGCCACCAGTCTGTGCCAACAGCCTTTACAGGTGTTCCCAGAGGTTAAGTGTCTTGCCCAAGGACACATCGACATCAGTGGGAGTCTGTGGAGAAAGTCTTGTATCTTTTCTTATCTGGACCAATGGCTGTGTTTGACTGAGTTTTGTTAAGTTCACAGAGATAACTACAGTCGGGATTAAGGGCGATACAAGAATACATTTAGTTTAAATTGAATCGAGTATTTACTACATTTTACTTTTAAGAGTTAGAACATTAATTAATATGAAGGGTTTTAGAACAGCTTTGAGGAGATGTTGCATAAACTGTCGACGCACGGACAATGATATCTGAACACAAACAGACTCATGACGGCGGGACGGGACTCCTGTTAGTGCCCAGAGTCAGGACTAGACAGGGGGAGGCTGCTTTTCAGATTTATGCAGCTGGAGTCTGGAACGGTCTTCCTGAGGATGTGAGACTGGCTGCCTCTCTGTCGATGTTCAAATCCATGTTAAAGACTTTTCTTTTTTCCCGTGCATACAACTAGAGAATTTCATCTTTTTAACACACCTTGTTATTTATTGTTGTAACTTTTTGTGTTTTTAACTATTTTATTGTTTTTAATTACTTGTGTGATTTTTATGTTTTTAAATTACTTATGTGATTTTAATGCTTTTTAATTACATATGTGTTTTTAATTGTATTTTAATGGTGATGATTTGTGCATTGTGTGGTGTGGACTGTGAGGCGCTTTGTGTTGCCCTGTGCAGGAAAAGCGCCCTATAAATAAAGATTGATTGATTGATTGAACATGTGACATCACTCGACACGAGCAGCTGTCCCAGAGCGAAGCATCGTACAGCAGAAAAACAACTTCAGAAAAACTACATTTAAAGGTAAAGGCGCACTTTATTAATCCCTGTAGGGCAATTAAATCCTCTGCATTTGACCCTGATGCTCTAAGGCTTACGTCAGGAGCAGTGGTTGCCGTAGTAACAGCGCCCAGGAACCCATCCCCAGATGTTGATGCTCTTGGTCAGGACCAGAGCTGGAGGATTTAACCAAGTGAGCATGTTTTTAGTGGTAGGGGAAACCGGAGCACCTGGAGGAAACCTACGCCAGCACTGGGAGAACATGCAAACTCCACTTAGAAAGACCCTGTTCCGACCGGGATTCGAACCTAGGACCCTCTTGCTGAGAGGAGAGAGTGCTAACCACTCAGCCACCGTGCCGCGAGAGTTAGAGAGTTTATTACATCAAGTTTGATCGTTGCACATTTTATGATTAAAAAAACGAAACCGTCTAAACTCTGCATCTCAAAAAAAAAGATAACTCTAGCCCTACGCCAGTCTGTGGGATCCAGGTCCAAAACAAAACACCAGAGAGAACGGACCCAGAGACGAACGGACCCAGAGAGAACGGACCCAGAGAGAACGGACCCAGAGAGAACGGACCCAGAGAGAACGGACCCAGAGACGAACGGACCCAGAGAGAACGGACCCAGAGAGAACGGACCCAGAGAAGAACAGACCTAGAGAGAACGGATCCAGAGAGAACGGACCCAGAGAAAAGAACGGACCCAGAGAGAACGGACCCAGAGAGAACGAAACCAAAGAGAACGGACCCAGACTGATTTGAGTGTGATGAACCAGTATCATGGACTTTCTGTGGATTCAAAGTGAGGAAACGCAGCTTTAAGGCATTTGAAGATAAGACATTAGTTTGTCACACAGCGGGAACTATGAACTCCAGCTGCAATATTTAGGGATTAAAAACGTATTTAAAGAAGCAGTTCGTGGAAAACGCTGATGAGGAAAACCCACACGTACTTTTCGTCTGAGATCCTCATGACCGGAGAGTCCAGACACAGAGAGAACAGTCCGGTCTCGATCGCTCGCACAGACTCTCTGTTGATCTTGTCTAAAGCAGAACAAAGTCAAGTCTCTAAACTGCAGCAGAACCTTTTACACCGGCGTGTTCCGAGTCACCTCTGAGCAGCCGGTTGTAGGCGGCTCCCCACGTGTGCCGGTGCTCGCTGGTTAATATTCCCATCGGCTCCTTGTCGGTTTTCCAGGACTGGGAGCGGATCCGCAGGAGCTGGGCGTGGATCTGAGACTCGGTCATCCTGGAGCCGTCGCTGTTGTAAACCTCCAGCTGAAAGAACTACAACACAACATTTACATAAGTGCATATCATTAGGATTGGTGAGAACTGAGAGGGACGGGAAGACAGCGATAACACCAGAACTATTGTAGATGTTTTTATTGGGAGGGGAAACCGAAGCACCCAGAAAAAACCTAGAGACCATGCAAACTCCAACCACTGTGCCACCGTTGAACAGAAACATTGACGCAGACGAATATGATAAACATTCAAAGCCAAAGCACCTCTCCTTTGATAACATGGACAGTTCCAATCCTGGTGTCATGGTCTCCCTCCAACTACTTTTCTTCATGTGGATAATTGGCTCTTTCCTGGTGGCGCTGTTCTTTCCTTTCCTTATTTGGGCGTGTGCCTCAGTCCTCCTGCAGGTGGCGCTGTTCTTTCCTTTCCTTATTTGGGCGTGTGCCTCAGTCCTCCTGCAGGTGGCGCCGTTTCTCACCTGGTAGTTGCGGACCACGGTGATGTGGGTGGGGGTCCGTCGGGAGCGTCCGTAGTGAGCCACAGAGTCGTGTTTTGGGCCCGGGATCCGACACGAGGAGAACATGAGCGGATACAGCTCCATACACAGACTTTGGCCACGCAGCTGCTCCACCGGCAACTGGCCCCTACACACAGACACACACACACACACACACACACAGAGACACACACAGAGACACACACAGACACACACACAGAGACACACACAGACACACACAGAGACACACGCACACACACACACACAGAGACAGACACACACACACACACACACACACACACACACAGAGACACACACACACAGAGAGACACACACACACACAGAGAGAGACACACACAGAGAGAGAGACACAAACACACACACACACACACACACAGAAACACACAAACAGAAAAACACACACAGAAAGATACATCGACAAAGACAGACACAAACACACACAGACACACACACACACACAGAGAGAAAGACACACAGACACACGCACACACAGAGACACACACACACACACGTTAATATTCACCTCATGTAGGTGGCAAATGGAGAAAAGATACTGCAGAAGCTCTATTGTTTTAAAGTGATTCAATAAAAACCAATATACTTTTCTTTCAGAACCAAAATGGCACAAAACAAAATGACTGGAGACTTAAAGACCTTATGACGGGTTTGATTTATTTAGAAATACAGTTTTAATACCATTTTATATTAGAAGAGAACTACTAAAGGTTTCAAAATCAGTACTTGTTTTTTTTGTCTGATCCCCCCAAATCGAAATAACCCCATAGCAACGCCCTTAGAAACGAAAAAACTTCACAGCCCTTGGTGACGTCAGAACGGGTACGTTTCAATGCTGTAGGTTGTTTACAATTTGGTATTTGTTCTTTTTTCGCGGATATTCAAGATGACAAGGCCGTGTACAGCGAGTCTAAGATAAGTACTAGAATGTATCATTTCGTTGTCACTGAGATAGTCCAGTGGTTGTGTCGATGGACTGCCAATCCAGATACTTGGGTTCAATTCCCACCTCGGACATTTTTTCTCACTCAAAACGGCAATTTATGTGTAGTGAGCAATTGTCACCTGTAGAGGGCAGTATTGTGTTGGGCATCAGTGGAGAGAAGAGAGAAAAGGCAGTCCTGTGGCATAGATCCATGGTTTTCAATGCATGGGCGTAACCCGCTATGACGTCACACACAGGTTAGAGCATAGACAACTTAAATTCATGAAAAACACGTTCTTTTTATAAAATATAGGATTTTTTTTGCCGGAATCTCTTTCAAATTGACATTGTCATGCTATTTTGATATCCACTATTTTTTTTTTTTAAAACCCGTCATAAGGTCTTTAAGACTAGTTTTGAAACATTTAGTTTTAAACTGACATGGTCTGAGCTTGTAACAGATGGGGCTAAAAACTCCAGAACTGGTTTTCAATAAGATGGTTAAAAGAGAAAAAAATAAAACTTGACAATACGTGTCCCTTGAAGGTATTTTTCCTGTTTGTACTTTTAGTTTATGTTGATATTAGCCAAGGTTAAGAAAAATAAGTGTTACACAAATGACCAACTGTGTAAATAAGAAGTTGCGTCGACATTCCTGAAGAGCCCGTGTGAGTTGAAGCTGCTGCGGCGCCTTGTTCATGTGGACCCAGGGTTAAACCACCTATACCCAGGGTTAGGGTTCCATAATATACTAATAATACTTTATATACACTTTATAATACTTTACTAATGCTAAGAGACCGTTTTCATCAACTCTCAACCTGTTAAAGCCCGTTAGACCCATGTTTATGCAATAGCTGTTTATTTCTGTGCTTCTCTTTCGTATCATTGATTTTGATATCTTCTAAATGCCCAAATAAACACAATTATTATTATTATATTAATCTTGTCTGAAGTTTCCCCACAGTGGGACGGGTAAAGGAAAAGGTTATCTTAAAATAGCAGCCTTGTACAGTCTCACACATGGACATATAATTATCTGTGTTGTGAACATGCTCCTATAGATCAAGAAGAGATCCTTTGTCTGTCCCACAGCGGAGAAATGTCAGTGTTGCATCACAAGTTATAGAGCAGTAGGAAAGAGGAGTATAGTTGTGGCTAATGCATGATTGGTAAGATTCTAAACTGCATTCTGCTGTTCTGACTCTAATGACAACAAACAAATCCCGAATAAATTATAATATATTCACTGCCAACGTCCAAACAGGAAGTCACATTGTAAACAGTGGGACGACAGAGAAACTATCAATCTCCTCCTCACCATGCGGCTCGGACTGAAAACACCAGTCTTTGCAAAACTTCTGTGGGGGGAGAAAATTACGTGCGGCGTGGCATCGGTACAACTGGAAACCGGCGGAACATTACACTTCTCTTTCCATTCGGTCGCAGAGAAACGAGAAGATCGGCTTTAGCTTCTGCAAGTCTCATTCCTTTGGCCATAACTGAGGAGCCATGAAGTCAGCTCAACGTGTGTTTGAATCGCTCAAAATCTCAACAGCGGTCGGCTCAAAGGGCAGCACAGAATTGTCAATTTGCCAGCAGCAGAAAAGAAAACATAATAAAACATAGGAGTATTTACGATTGTAGTTCCTTGTTTCCACCTGGTTTTGTTGAGCATGTTGAGTTAGCTTGTGTATAAACTAGGGCTGACACGTGTTCGATATCAATAGAAAACGGGGTTGATAGAATGTTTCATAGTTTTTCTTCACTCAGTTAGAAAAAACAGGAAGAAAACATAGGAAGTAAAGCCGAGTCAGAAGCACGCTGCATTCTGGGGGATGTAGGCAGAGACTTCTCGACCTATCACAGCCGAGCAGGAACCGCAAAACAACCGCACCGTGCGTAGCGTCCATGTGTAGCGTGTGTTTTAATGCCGTGTCAATGGTTCTGTACGTCCGTGTGAGGAGCAGCATGTGCGGCGGGAGAGAGGCAGAGACTCAATGCATTCGGCGTAAAGCAAGAGAAACTTTTTCCAGAGCCATCACGGGACAAGACACTCAAAAACAGCCATAACAGGAGCCAAACCAGGACTAAACCAGGACTAACAATGGGGGAGACTGAACATATGTCTCCAGCCTCGTTCCCCCGTGACTGTAAACAAGGCTGCTAACATGTGATAGAGTTTTCAGCCAGGTCGTCCAGCCCTATTATAAACTGTGCCATACAAATAAACTTGCTGTGATGGGTTTACCAATGTCCCCCACTGATAAACTCACAGCAGCTGAACTAAATCTTGTTTTTTTGGGGCCGGAGTGGTTTTAATGCCTTCAATCCAATGCCCACAATGTAAAACTGTTCTAAAAGCCTAATTTTAACTTTTATAAACCATCAGACACGTTTAAACAACACAAAACCAACAAGAATGGAACCGTACTTGTCTATTTGTTTACTTTTTTAATGTTTTTATACGGAGACAGGAGTCAGAAAATCAGATGTCCATGTTTCTGTATCTACTGAACCAAAGCAGTGAGAGTGTGAAAGGTTAATCTGGACTCTCCGACGGCTCTGAGTTTGTGGCAGCAGCTTTGGGTCGCGACATCAACAGAGACTAAATTTAGACCTGGATTAGGTTCAGTGAAAGCAGCAGCAGCTGGACCACAGGCCTCAGACAGATTTACCTGTCCACCATGGCTTTGAAGTCCAGCACCGCAGCGATGAGTTTGGACGCAAACCTAAAAAAAGACAAAGAGAAAGGAAGAATGAACACAAATGTACTTATATGTTTATTTATTTATATTTAGAACCAGTTTAGGAGTTATGATGGAGAGAAAACGACTTGTATCAAACTGTGGAAGTCAAAATAGTGCAGTGTGTAACTATTCTATTTAAAATCATCAGAGCGACAAACTCCCAGCAGCAGAACATTAAAGCTGCGATGTTTTAGGAGAATGCTGTGAGTAAATCTATAGAAAATATGAAAGATACTTTATAAAGTAGAGAATGGATTCACGTGTTTTAGTGTGTAGTTGTGGTTTGGTCCTATCCTGGATCCTTAGAGCAGGTCAGCTAACACAGGTTAGCTTAAACTAGGCTAATGTCGAGGCTAATGTTTAAGCAGTTGTGTTTTGGTGCATTTCTGTTGAGACCGAGACGGATGTTGTGGTAATTTGAAGGTCAAGGCCAATGTTTAAGGCGTTATGTAACAGATGCACTTGAGGTTTTGTTGTGTTTTGGTGCATTTATGTTCAGACTGGGGCGTTCAGGGATTTTTCCATTGATGTTTTTGGTAATGTGAAGGTCAAGGTAAGACATCTGTTGGTTTGTGGCAGATGCTGTATTTTTGTATTTGTTGGAAGACCGTGTAAACGCTGTGTTCTGTTGCTCAAAATCACAACCACAGTCCTCTCAAAAGGTATCACAGAATTGTTGATTCGCCGGCAGCAGATTTGAAAATGAAACCATAAGAAGAGGTTTAATTGCTGAGAATCGACAATAAAACATGTTTTCTGCCGAGACATGACCCCAGAACTCTGCATCTGTTGTGTGGGTGTATTTCCCATTAAACCGCTCTTACTTCCAGCTCTGGCAGTAAAATCTGTTCATTTGTAAATCCTTTGGCGAGCAACAGGTTTGAGACGTTGATTCAGATCATAAAGACAGTTCTTTAATCTGTGACTGACTTTTTATTTTACTTTATTTTCCTAGCACGTACGCTTGCACACACACACATCTCCCTCCCTCCCCATATGGTATTGTTTCATGTTCTCGCAATATCTGTGCTTCTTTGTATGTCCCCATGTTTTGCCGCTGCTTCAACATTCTTTTTGCCGTCGTACCAATCCTTTCACTTTTATGTGTGTCTATGTGTCACTTTTATGTATGTCTATGTATCACTTTTATGTATCACTTTTATGTATGTCTATGTATCACTTTTATGTATGTCTATGTATCACTTTTATGTATGTCTATGTATCACTTTTATGTATCACTTTTATGTATGTCTATGTATCACTCTTGTATGTCTATGTATCACTTTTATGTATCACTTTTATGTATGTCTATGTATCACTTTTATGTGTGTCTATGTATCACTTTTATGTATGTCTATGTATCAATTTTATGTATCACTCTTGTATGTCTATGTATCACTTTTATGTGTGTCTATGTGTCACTTTTATGTATGTCTATGTATCACTTTTATGTATGTCTATGTATCACTTTTATGTATGTCTATGTATCACTTTTATGTATGTCTATGTATCACTTTTATGTGTGTCTATGTGTCACTTTTATGTATGTCTATGTATCACTTTTATGTATGTCTATGTGTCACTTTTATGTATGTCTATGTATCACTTTTATGTATGTCTATGTGTCACTTTTATGTATGTCTATGTATCACTTTTATGTATGTCTATGTATCACTTTTATGTATGTCTATGTATCACTTTTATGTATGTCTATGTATCACTTTTATGTATCACTTTTATGTATGTCTATGTATCACTCTTGTATGTCTATGTATCACTTTTATGTGTGTCACTTTTATGTATGTCTATGTATCACTTTTATGTATGTCTATGTATCACTTTTATGTATGTCTATGTGTCACTTTTATGTATGTCTATGTGTCACTTTTATGTATGTCTATGTGTCACTTTTATGTATGTCTATGTATCACTTTTATGTATGTCTATGTATCACTTTTATGTATGTCTATGTGTCACTTTTATGTATGTCTATGTATCACTTTTATGTATCACTTTTATGTGTGTCTATGTATCACTTTTATGTGTGTCTATGTGTCACTTTTATGTATGTCTATGTATCACTTTTATGTATGTCTATGTATCACTTTTATGTATGTCTATGTATCACTTTTATGTATGTCTATGTATCACTTTTATGTATGTCTATGTGTCACTTTTATGTATGTCTATGTGTCACTTTTATGTATGTCTATGTGTCACTTTTATGTATGTCTATGTGTCACTTTTATGTATGTCTATGTATCACTTTTATGTATGTCTATGTGTCACTTTTATGTATGTCTATGTGTCACTTTTATGTATGTCTATGTATCACTCTTGTATGTCTATGTATCACTTTTATGTATGTCTATGTGTCACTTTTATGTATGTCTATGTATCACTTAATAAAAAATAAAAAAAAGTAATAAAAAAAATATATTAATAATAATAATAATCTGTGACTGACAACACAACACTTTAACTTTCCCTCTGCATCTTTCCTCATGTTCTTCAGTCGTGTGGACACTCACACCAGCTGGCTCCTCCAGTCGTTGAAGTCCCGTCGAGGGAGAGAGATGGCCGGGTTTGAGTGCACCGCCAGAGGCTCCCTGTTCTCCAGATACGCCCACTGCACCCACCAGTCTGTGATCTGCACCCAGGAAATGTAAGGTCATGATTCAGACAGAGTTGAATAACAAAATACTGCAAAGGCTGAACAGGAGGCTTCAGATTATAGTAGTAGGAAGAATCTATTTCAAAGTGTTAAGCAAAAGAAAAACAGTATAAACAATAAGAAATAAGACACAAAATAAATAAACGGATTGAAAAAGAGGCTGGACGAAGCAGACGCATATTTGGTTCCATCCCCTCAGTCAGCAATCACACACACACACAATCCCACACACACAATCCCACACACACACACACACAATCCCACACACACACACACACACACACACACACAATCCCACACACACAATCCCACACACACACACAATCCCACACAATCAGCCAAACACAATCCCACACACACACAATCAGCCAAACACAATCCCACACACACACACAATCAGCCAAACACAATCCCACACACAATCGGCCAAACACAATCCCACACACACACAATCAGCCAAACACAATCACACACACACACAATCAGCCAAACACAATCCCACACACACACAATCAGCCAAACACAATCACACACACAATCGGCCAAACACAATCACACACACACACAATCACACACACACACAATCACACACACACACAATCCCACACACACACACAATCGGCCAAACACAATCACACACACAATCAGCCAAACACAATCACACACACACACAATCGGCCAAACACAATCACACACACAATCAGCCAAACACAATCCCACACACCCACACAATCGGCCAAACACAATCACACACACAATCAGCCAAACACAATCACACACACAATCAGCCAAACACAATCACACACACACAATCCCACACACCCACACAATCGACCAAACACAATCACACACACAATCCCACACACACACACAATCGGCCAAACACAATCACACACACAATCAGCCAAACACAATCCCACACACCCACACAATCGGCCAAACACAATCACACACACAATCAGCCAAACACAATCACACACACACAATCCCACACACACATACAATCGGCCAAACACAATCACACACACAATCAGCCAAACACAATCACACACACACACAATCCCACACACACAATCAGCCAAACACAATCCCACACACAATACCGTGATGTGATTATTATGTTATTTTCAGACACAAACCAATAGCTACACGTTTAGAGTTTTTCTCTTTGACGATTTTCACTGTTGAAATGAAAGACCAGAACATTCCTGTTTAAAACCACACTGTGCTTGAATCCATTCAGTTCCATTTATTGTGTATAATCCTAAATCACAGCAGTCGCCGCAGAGGACTGTACACAGCTGCGGATTCACCAACGCAGATCAGAGAAGAACACATACAATTCACCAACCACCAATGTCCATAAATGTTAAAAACTAAGTGAGAGAACTCTGGATTTGACATTTCCATTAGCAGATACAACACTCAAAATTTAATTGAGTTTTGGACCAGTCTAGTTTAGTCGCTGTGAATTTCTGAAGTCAATGGTTTTGCGCCCATTTTGAATCACTCCATGAAAGCCCAATTTTTGGCCCATTAGTTAGAACGGCGGAGATAGGCGTGACTACGTCCATTAATATGTACAGTCTATGTATGAGACTTGGGTGGCAGCTCTGATTGCCCTGAATTTTCTATTAAACACTTGCTCTGGTATTATAATAAATCCATGCACCGCACCGGTACTAGTCACGCGTCACACGTAAATGACGTGGTCTGACAACGCTGAGGACATCCTGGGGGTACTATTTTTGATGGAAAAGAACGCGAACTGGGCTATGGCGCGCCGTGTAGAGTCAAAACATACCGTACTCGGACTGTGGAAAAACGGCATTAGTAATCAGCAACTTCTTTAAGTCATTATTACAGTTCTCTCTGAACCAAAGCTGAAAAGGACAAACACAGATTACCCAGTTCCTGGTGTGCCGGGCCCTGATCTCCAGCCCCTTCTGCAGCCGGGAGCCCAGGCCTCCAGGACGCCCAAACTCCTGCACCATGCGGCGGCTGTGGCTCAGCTCGTCCGGAGGCAGCAGAGGCTCCAAGGCCTGGAGGTATCTCTGCAGCGTCAGGGAGAGAGGAGGCACCGGCTGAGGAGGAGCAGAGGAGGACCAACACTGCTGCTGCTGCTGGAGGGAGGCCTGAGGAGAGAGGAGGGGGAGACTCAACATGAAGACTTGAGGAGACTCAACATGAAGACCTGAGGAGACTCAACATGAAGACCTGAGGAGACTCAACATGAAGACCTGAGGAGACTCAACATGAAGACCTGAGGAGACTCAACATGAAGACCTGAGGAGACTCAACGTGAAGACCTGAGGAGACTCAACGTGAAGACCTGAGGAGACTCAACGTGAAGACCTGAGGAGACTCAACATGAAGACCTGAGAAGACTCAACATGAAGACCTGAGGAGACTCAACAAGACCTGAGGAGGCAAGAGTGAGGAGAAAGTGGAGGAACAATTCTGCTGCTGGAGGGAGGCCTGAGGAGACTCAACATGAAGACCTGAGGAGACTCAACATGAAGACCTGAGGAGACTCAACGTGAAGACCTAAGGAGACTCAACATGAAGACCTGAGGAGACTCAACATGAAGACCTGAGGAGACTGAAACTAAAGACCTGAGGAGACACATTAACCTAAATCACAGCGATACATTTTTCCCATAAATGTTTGTGATTTACTGTAATATCTGAACTCTTTAAAGCTGAGGTACCTAACTTTCAGACCACAACACATTTAAACATGTGATAAAACTAGCCCTGGACTCGCTAGCTCCATGTGTCAGTCTGCACCGGCCCGGGTCAGGAATGTTGCTCCGTTTACTTTACAGGAAACATAACAAAAGGATAAAGAAGATTCATTTAAAGGCAGATAAAGAAAGAGAGCTACTGCCCCGGGAGGATAAAGGCAGAGAGCTACTGCCCCGGGACGATAAAGGCAGAGAGCTATACTGTCCCGGGACGATAAAGGCAGAGAGCTATACTGTCCCGGGACGATAAAGGCAGAGAGCTATACTGTCCCGGGACGATAAAGGCAGAGAGCTATACTGTCCCGGGACGATAAAGGCAGAGAGCTATACTGTCCCGGGACGATAAAGGCAGAGAGCTATACTGTCCCGGGACGATAAAGGCAGAGAGCTATACTGTCCCGGGACGATAAAGGCAGAGAGCTATACTGTCCCGGGACGATAAAGGCAGAGAGCTATACTGTCCCGGGACGATAAAGGCAGAGAGCTATACTGTCCCGGGACGATAAAGGCAGAGAGCTATACTGTCCCGGGACGATAAAGGCAGAGAGCTACTGTCCCGGTACGATAAATGCAAAGAGCTATACTGTCCCGGGACGATAAAGGCAAAGAGCTACTGTCCCGGGACGATAAAGGCAGAGAGCTATACTGTCCCGGGACGATAAAGGCAGAGAGCTATACTGTCCCGGGACGATAAAGGCAGAGAGCTATACTGTCCCGGGACGATAAAGGCAGAGAGCTATACTGTCCCGGGACGATAAGGGAAAGAGCTACTGTCCCGGGACGATAAAGGCAAAGAGCTATACTGTCCTGGGACGATAAAGGCAAAGAGCGACTGTCCTGGGACAATAAAGGCAGAGAGCTATACTGTCCCGGGACGATAAAGGCAGAGAGCTATACTGTCCCGGGACGATAAGGGAAAGAGCTACTGTCCCGGGACGATAAAGGCAAAGAGCTATACTGTCCCGGGACGATAAAGGCAAAGAGCGACTGTCCTGGGACAATAAAGGCAGAGAGCTACTGTCCCGGGACGATAAAGGCAGAGAGCTATACTGTCCCGGGACGATAAAGGCACAGAGCAACTGTCCCGGGACGATAAAGGCAGAGAGCTATACTGTCCCGGGACGATAAAGGCAGAGAGCTATACTGTCCCGGGACGATAAGGGAAAGAGCTACTGTCCCGGGACGATAAAGGCAAAGAGCTATACTGTCCCGGGACGATAAAGGCAAAAAGCGACTGTCCTGGGACAATAAAGGCAGAGAGCTACTGTCCCGGGACGATAAAGGCAAAGAGCTACTGTCCCACGACGATAAAGGCAAAGAGCTACTGTCCCGGGACGATAAAGGCAGAGAGCTACTGTCCCGGGACGATAAAGGCAGAGAGCTACTGTCCCGGGACGATAAAGGCAGAGAGCTACTGTCCCGGGACGATAAAGGCAGAGAGCTACTGTCCCGGGACGATAAAGGCAGAGAGCTATACTGTCCAGGGACGATAAAGGCAAAGAGCTACTGTCCCGGGACAATAAAGGCAGAGAGCTACTGTTCCGGGACGATAAAGGCAGAGAGCTACTGTCCCAGGACGATAAAGGCAGAGAGCTATACTGTCCAGGGACGATAAAGGTCGAGAGCTACTGTCCCGGGACTATATAAAGGCAGAGAGCTACTGTCCAGGGACGATAAAGACAGAGAGCTATACTGTCCAGGGACGATAAAGGCAAAGAGTTACTGTCCCGGGACTATAAAAAGGCAGAGAGCTACTGTCCCGGGACGATAAAGGCAGAGAGCTATACTGTCCAGGGACAATAAAGGCAAAGAGCTACTGTCCCGGGACTATAAAAAGGCAGAGAGCTACTGTCCCGGGACTATAAAAAGGCAGAGAGCTACTGTCCCGGGACGATAAAGGCAGAGAGCTACTTCCCCACATTAGAATGAGTCTGGTGTGTGGGTGAATGATTGGTGGTGGTGGGAGGGGCCGATGGCACAGACTGGTTGCCTCAGTTACGTCAGTGTGCCCCAGGGCAGCTGTGGCTACAGTAGTTCATCACCACTGTGTGTTGGAGTGAAAGAATAATGATACGTGAAGTCCAAAAAGTGCTGTAAAAAATATACATTTTAGTAATATTATTAGTTTTATTTGAGGGGTTAGCTAAAACAAGTTAGCTTTAAATCGGCTTATGTCAGAGTCTATGGTTTAGGCTAAAGTATATGCTAAAGTATAGGCTAAGGTATAGGCTAAGGCAGTGTCTCCCAAAGTGGGGTCCGCGGCCCCCTGGTGGGCCGCGAGGGTACTGCAGGGGGGCCGCGGGAGGTCATAAAAAAAACAAAATATAATATAATTATTTAATGTTAAATTTATAATGTTTTGTTTGTAATGTTAAAATATTTGTGTTCATTATTTGACTTGAATAATCCACTGTAATCATTTTTGTGTTACAATGTTTGTAGCAGAGGCTATTTCCCCAAAATAAAATAACCAGAAGAGCCTATTCTTAATGTTGTCTTCTTGGTTATTATTTTGGGGGGCCACGCAGACCCGTCAGATTTTTAAGGGGGCCTCGGCGTTACTGAGTTTGGGAATGGCTGGGCTAAGGTATAGGCTAAAGTATAGGCTAAGGCAGCCATTCCCAAACTCAGTAACACCGAGGCCCCCTTAAAAATCTGATGGGTCTGCGTGGCCCCCCAAAATAATAACCAAGAAGACAACATTAAGAATAGGCTCTTCTGGTTATTTTATTTTGGGGAAATAGCCTCTGCTACAAACATTGTAATACAAAAATGATTACAGTGGCTTATTCAAGTCAAATAATGAACACAAATAGTTTAATATTACAAACAAAACATTATAAATTTAACATTAAATAATTATATTATTTTTTTATTTTTTTTATGACCTCCCGCGGCCCCCCTGCAGTACCCTCGCGGCCCACCAGGGGGCCGCGGACCCCACTTTGGGAGACACTGGGCTAAGGTATATGCTAATGGTGCAGTCTTGGTAGAAATGCACTTCTGGTTTTGTAAAAACTTGAGTGTATCTCCTCTTGGTCCAAAGCCAAATGCGCAGAAAGCCAGCAGCAGAAGTAGGAAGTAGGAACCCGCCCAGCTGCAGCACTTTAACAGCACTAAGCACCTCGCACATGTAGAAAAACACACTCAATGCAGTTTTAACATTGATACACAAACTTTGGGTCCTGTTTGCGCTCCGTCCTCACCCGTGTGCGCCAGGCTGAGCGCGCAGAGGGCGCAGAGGGCTGCAGTCTGCACAGGATCATGGCTCACTTCATGTGCACGTCTCCGGATCTTTGCGTGTTTTTCTCAAAGTTCCGCAGCTCCGTCCTCCTGAGTCTCCAGGACCGCGGCAGAAAGCGTGCAGAAACACACGTACACAAAGCACTACACGCACACACCACGCGCGGACTGTGGAGGAGCTGACGTGACGTGACGTGACGTGACGTGACGTGACCCTTCTTCCGTCAACAGCCGTGGGTTGCCAGATCTGTGGGCGCCAGAGTAAAATGGTGTGAGCGAGTAAGTAATCTTTATTTATTTATATAAAATGCTGAGAGGCGAGAGTGCTACCCATCTTTTTACTAAAGCGTACTGCTAATTTTTTTATAGTATTTTATCTGATTTTATGTGTTTGCTTTTATTTATGCTCCTGTTTGTAGCACTTTGAGATTTGATGTCAAATATAAAGTGCATTATAAATAAAATGTATTATTATTATTATCCACTCAGCCACCGTGCCGCCGAGTCGTAGAATGTTTTTTTTATTTGTCTTTCTTGTTTATATTTTATGCTTTAGGAGAGAGGCTGGAGGTGACAGATAAGACTCTATCTTTGTTTCTCGGAACCAAAGACATTTTTTTCAGTTTTGTCTGAGTTTAGCTGGAGAAACTCACTGACAAAGTTGGCACACTTTTTTTCTTCTTGAGTGATACTATCCATGCCAGATGTGACATGTAAATTTCTCCTGTGTGAGATCAATAAAGTTATCTTATCTTATCTGATCTGTTGGATGCAGTGAAGGTTCTTCTACAGCCAGTGAGACATACCTCTACATCCACATCCACACGAGGGCGCTCCTGTATTTGAATTTACAATCTAGTCATATGTGGTCTCTATGGGCTGTTTTTCGTTCCTGTTCAATTCCCCCACTGTACACTGAATAACGGGCGTCTTATCTTATCTTAACGGAGGTAACGTGTGTTTTTTTCCCTATACCCACTAAGTTGCTCATAAAAGCCCTTGTCTTTCAAAAACATCTTCCAGCTCCTAGTGTGGTGGAAGAATCTGTTCTTGAGGTTACTGCACTTCTTATAACGCGGTCACATCAGCACGGACTGAACCAACTCATAAACAAACCATCATTTGTTGTTTGGAAGTTTCATTCAATTTCATAAACAAATGGCGATGATCCATCCCCTGTTCGAGTGGAAGATTACCATTAGACTCCAGCAGAGGCCGCTGTTGTCAACTAGTAACTACATCCATGAGGAGGATGAGTCTGTGTCCAGCTGCAGCTCTGCTGGAGCCAACACAACCTTCACCGAGTCCAGACCAACAATCATGGATCTCAGATTCAGATTCAGATTCATTTATTGGCCATGTGCAGTATAAAAACTACATTGGAATACATTTGCAAAAAAAAAAAGGTACTCTGTGTGCACCGACAGAATAAAAAGCACGATACAATGTAATATAAAATACACATACACTGAATATAAAATAATAAAAAAAAAACAGCTGACACTGTGGCACCGATCAACAAAACGATACAAGGGGTAAAAGCAGGAATTAAAGTGCTCTGTTTAGGCACCTAACAGCCTGTGGAAAGAAGCTGTTAGCATAGCGAGAAGTCTTGCATCTCAGCGACTGATATCTTCTGCCAGAGGGAAGAAGCTGGAACATGGCTTTCCCAGGGTGGCCAGAAGAGTCATTGATGATTTTAAGAGCTTTGTTTAAAAGTCTGGATTTGTAAAGAACCTCCAGAACAGGAAGCTCACAGCCTACAGTCCTCTTTGCAGAGCGGAGCACCTTGTTTAAAGCTCTCTTTTCTTTATCTGTGATGTTTCCAAACCACGCAGACACAGAACCAACAAGTAAACTCTCAATGGTGCAGCCATAAAAGTTAAGCAGAATCTTAGAGTTAGTGGTAAATTCTCTAAGTTTCCGCAAAAAGAAGAGCCGCTGACGAGCTTTCTTAACAACCCGGTTAGTATTTTTAACCCATTTCAGGTTAGACAGAGTTAAACCCAGGAACTTGCTCCTCTACGATCTGCACCTGGGAGTTGTCAATAACAACAGGAGTGTGAGAATTGCTACGACTGAAGTCAAAGACAAGTTCACATGTTTTTGCAGTGTTCAGCTGGAGATTGTTTACTTTACTCCACTGAAAAACTGAAAAACAATAATAACTGGATAGGGTATTACTAGCTTATAGGTGTCCCACCTACGGACACAGGGGGCGCTGTGGTACTGGAGACTAAATTCACGATCCATGGGGCTACCCAGAAAAAAGCCCCATAGAACTCAATGTAAATTAAAACAGCTCGACCTCAGCTGACAGAGAATCTGACAGAGAATCTGACAGAGAACCTGACAGAGAACCTGACAGAGAACCTGAGAGAGAACCTGACAGAGAACCTGAGAGAGAACCTACAGAGAATCTGACAGAGAACCTACAGCTTTCATAAAGATCGGATTTTGTGGGGATTTTAGTGTCCCTTATCGTCCTGAACTTTTTATCTTCTTAAATCCTTCGGTTTTCTTTAAATCCACACTTTACTGCCACAAACTCTGCTCCTTTCCTTCCCGCTCTGACTCCGCTCTGCTGCTGCTCTGATGAACTGCTCTGATTGGTCAGAGCGCGGCCGAGCCTCTCTGTGCACGTGCATGAAAACCACACACGCACATGGAACTGGGAGGACCAGACGATGCCCAAATACAGGAGAGTTCAGCTAATCTCCTGGTCTCCGTGAAGTCCCAGGAACTACTGAGCACAAGCCATTCATTTGAATAGGGCGCCATCTTGGATCACAGAGTCCAGACAGTCTATGGTCCAGACCGACAATGCATCCCTGGTCTAGTCTAGACCAATAGATCCATGGTCCAGACTCACTCTTCTTGTTTGTAAGCTTTCATGTAACTGAAGTCTGGAGGCTGGAGGACAGAGAGGTTACATTTGGTTCATGGAGGTAAACTTCAGGTGGTCACGTGGGGTCCATCTGCTGCAGACCATCAGGGTCTGACACCTGATGGCTGCTGCAGGTGTCAGACCCTGATGCGGGAGCAGGTGTCAGACCCTGATGGGAGCAGGTGTCAGACCCTGATGGGAGCAGGTGTCAGACCCTGATGGCTGCTGCAGGTGTCAGACCCTGATGGGAGCAGGTGTCAGACCCTGATGCGGGAGCAGGTGTCAGACCCTGATGGGAGCAGGTGTCAGACCCTGATGGGAGCAGCTGTCAGACCCTGATGGGAGCAGGTGTCAGACCCTGATGGCTGCTGCAGGTGTCAGACCCTGATGGGAGCAGGTGTCAGACCCTGATGGGAGCAGGTGTCAGACCCTGATGGGAGCAGGTGTCAGACCCTGATGGGAGCAGGTGTCAGACCCTGATGGGAGCAGGTGTCAGACCCTGATGGGAGCAGGTGTCAGACCCTGATGGGAGCAGGTGTCAGACCCTGATGGGAGCAGGTGTCAGACCCTGATGGGAGCAGGTGTCAGACCCTGATGGGAGCAGTGTCAGACCCTGATGGGAGCAGGTGTCAGACCCTGATGGGAGCAGGTGTCAGACCCTGATGGGAGCAGGTGTCAGACCCTGATGGGAGCAGGTGTCAGACCCTGATGGGAGCAGGTGTCAGACCCTGATGGGAGCAGGTGTCAGACCCTGATGGGAGCAGGTGTCAGACCCTGATGGGAGCAGGTGTCAGACCCTGATGGGAGCAGGTGTCAGACCCTGATGGGAGCAGGTGTCAGACCCTGATGGGAGCAGGTGTCAGACCCTGATGGGAGCAGGTGTCAGACCCTGATGGGAGCAGGTGTCAGACCCTGATGGGAGCAGGTGTCAGACCCTGATGGGAGCAGCTGTCAGACCGTGTGAACTGAGCGGTTCTCACGGGAAAGTCCCTCCTTTTGCACAAATGGATACATTTAATGCGCGGTCATGAGGGTCATATGAGGCCGTGCATGTTTCATAATTAGGCGCGATGTTTTGGCGCTCTGTCCTGGATCAAACCTGCGATCAGTACAATGTCCTGCCCCAGAGAGAAGCCCGAGACCCCGCGGCAGCCTAAGTGCACCCGCTGCCGGCACCACGGGCTCGTAGTCCCGCAGAAAGGCCACGCCAAGAAGTGTCCGTTCTCCCGGTGCTGCTGCTGGAAGTGCCGCCTCATCACGGAGCGGACCCGCATCAACGCGATGCAAAGACAGCTGGAGAGAGGCCCGGGGGAGGCCGAGGCCAGAGGGATCCCCAAGGCCAGCGAGCCACCTGAGGCCCCTAGCCGAACCGTGACCAGAGCTCCACCAGCGGACAGCAGAGACCCGGACCCTCCGCGGGAGCCAGATCCACCACAAAGTCAGTCTAAGTGATCTAAAGATGTTTGTGATTGTTTGATAATAACTCATTCTTCTCACAGTCCTAATCTGTAATAACTGCTTTGGGTTTAGACCCATGGAAATGCCATTCTTAATGAACTACAGTATTCTCCTAAAGGGAATCAAAACTCCCCGAAGTAATCCATGTTTAAAAAGCTAAGTTTGAAAATGGCGCAAAGACAGTTTATGGTATTTTTATGATCTCGATAACAGTATTTAGAATATCCTGTCTTGGTGTAACGTCGGCCCTCTGCAATGAAATATTGTGATTCAGAACAGGAAAAGATCATTCAAATTTAACATAAATAGTCTTTTAATATGATTCTAAAAGCTTCCATTGTCCTCTTCAGAGCAGGAGGGTCCGTGTACTTTTGCGTTCAGTACATTTTCTATTTTTGAAGGGAAATGGAAAATCGAAAGAAGGCCATTTTGCATTTTCAGGCACACAGCAATATACAAAAATTACCTTTTTTTTCATTGCTTATAAGACATATATATATATATATATATATATATATATTAGAAAATTCTATAATTCACCTTTTTTATTATGTAATTTATACATTTCGGCGTCAATCGATTACCCGGAAGTGAAACAAGTTGGTTTATTCGTACGCGATTAGTATTGCCTGTGGACCCCTGATCATTTGTGATAATCACGGAGAACGTCTAAGATTTTGCAGTGGATTCACACGGGATAAGCTATATCTGTAAAATACTGTTTTCGCTTCACCCAGTCTGTGAAGCGAAAACAGTGGGTGACTCTCTGAGTCACCTCTGACCCACAGACTGGACCACAGCAGCCACAGAGACATGAGGACAAACATTTTACTGCTCTACAGTTCTCTGGCCCATACTGTCTTTAATGTTTAATAATAGTTTACTTTGTATAGACTACTCGTGAACCACATACTCTGCTACGATACGTGCGAGCGACAAATAGTAACGGCTGCATCAACCACAGACTGTATTCAACACGTCTGTCCTGTATTAACCACAGACTGTATATATTCAACACGTCTGTCCTGTATTAACCACAGACTGTATTCAACACGTCTGTCCTGTATTAGGACAGACTGTATATATTCAACACGTCTGTCCTGTATTAGGACAGACTGTATATATTCAACACGTCTGTCCTGTATTAGGACAGAGTGCAGAGTAAACTTACAAACACAACAGTCTGATCATTTAGTGTCAGTGACACATTACACTGTCCTCTTCTCCACAGACCTCACAGAGACAGCAGCAGCCGCGACTCTGCAGCTGTGTACACAGCCGCTATACTCCTCTGCTTATTGACAAAAACAACGCAGAAAATCACAATCACTGACATGTACATTCGCACGGGATTAGTATTATCACAGGACGTCTGTGTTTGGACCTATTATAATAGATCCATGGTTTGGACAAATACAGCAGCGAATAGGGCTATAATCGATTGACGCCGAAATGTATTAAATACATATTAAAAAAGGTTAATTATTGCATTTTCTAGTTCCCAAATCTGGTTATTATGACATATGTATGTCTTATAAGCAATGAAAAAAACCAAAATGGTCATATTTGTATATTGCTGTGTGCCTGAAAATACAAAATAGCCTTTTTTCGATTTTCCATTTCCCTTCAAAAATAGAAAATGTACTGAACGCAAAAGTACACGGACCCAGGAGGCACAGACATTTCTGTTGCATTAGTTCTCTGAGGTTTCTGTTCCACATATTTTTATACATTTTCAGTTCATAAACAAATCGAGGCCAATCTGAGATTTTTGTAATCAATAAATGTGATTGATTTGAATGAAATAATCCAGGAGGACATTTGTGTGAACCTGAGGTTGTAGGTTCAGGTCTCTCTCTCTGCAGACCCTGTACTGATCAGAGGTTGTAGGTTCAGGTCTCTCTCTCTGCAGACCCTGTACTGATCAGAGGTTGTAGGTTCAGGTCTCACTCTCTGCAGACCCTGTACTGATCAGAGGTTGTAGGTTCAGGTCTCTCTCTCTGCAGACCCTGTACTGATCAGAGGTTGTAGGTTCAGGTCTCTCTCTCTGCAGACCCTGTACTGATCAGAGGTTGTAGGTTCAGGTCTCTCTCTGCAGACCCTGTACTGATCAGAGGTTGTAGGTTCAGGTCTCACTCTCTGCAGACCCTGTACTGATCAGAGGTTGTAGGTTCAGGTCTCTCTCTCTGCAGAACCTGTACTGATCAGAGGTTGTAGGTTCAGGTCTCACTCTCTGCAGAGTAGACCCTGTACTGATCAGAGGTTGTAGGTTCAGGTCTCTCTCTGCAGACCCTTTACTGATCAGAGGTTGTAGGTTCAGGTCTCTCTCTGCAGACCCTTTACTGATCAGAGGTTGTAGGTTCAGGTCTCTCTCTGCAGACCCTGTACTGATCAGAGGTTGTAGGTTCAGGTCTCTCTCTCTGCAGACCCTGTACTGATCAGAGGTTGTAGGTTCAGGTCTCTCTCTCTGCAGACCCTGTACTGATCAGAGGTTGTAGGTTCAGGTCTCTCTCTCTGCAGACCCTGTACTGATCAGAGGTTGTAGGTTCAGGTCTCTCTCTCTGCAGACCCTGTACTGATCAGAGGTTGTAGGTTCAGGTCTCTCTCTCTGCAGACCCTGTACTGATCAGAGGTTGTAGGTTCAGGTCTCTCTCTCTGCAGACCCTGTACTGATCAGAGGTTGTAGGTTCAGGTCTCTCTCTCTGCAGACCCTGTACTGATCAGAGGTTGTAGGTTCAGGTCTCTCTCTGCAGACCCTGTACTGATCAGAGGTTGTAGGTTCAGGTCTCTCTCTCTGCAGACCCTGTACTGATCAGAGGTTGTAGGTTCAGGTCTCTCTCTGCAGACCCTGTACTGATCAGAGGTTGTAGGTTCAGGTCTCTCTCTCTGCAGACCCTGTACTGATCAGAGGTTGTAGGTTGTAGGTTGTCAGAGGTTGTAGTTCAGGTCTCTCTCTGCAGACCCTGTACTGATCAGAGGTTGTAGGTTCAGGTCTCACTCTCTGCAGACCCTGTACTGATCAGAGGTTGTAGGTTCAGGTCTCTCTCTCTGCAGACCCTGTACTGATCAGAGGTTGTAGGTTCAGGTCTCTCTCTCTGCAGACCCTGTACTGATCAGAGGTTGTAGGTTCAGGTCTCTCTCTCTGCAGACCCTGTACTGATCAGAGGTTGTAGGTTCAGGTCTCTCTCTCTGCAGACCCTGTACTGATCAGAGGTTGTAGGTTCAGGTCTCTCTCTCTGCAGACCCTGTACTGATCAGAGGTTGTAGGTTCAGGTCTCTCTCTCTGCAGACCCTGTACTGATCAGAGGTTGTAGGTTCAGGTCTCTCTCTCTGCAGACCCTGTACTGATCAGAGGTTGTAGGTTCAGGTCTCTCTCTCTGCAGAACCTGTACTGATCAGAGGTTGTAGGTTCAGGTCTCACTCTCTGCAGACCCTGTACTGATCAGAGGTTGTAGGTTCAGGTCTCTCTCTGCAGACCCTTTACTGATCAGAGGTTGTAGGTTCAGGTATCTCTCTGCAGACCCTGTACTGATCAGAGGTTGTAGGTTCAGGTCTCTCTCTGCAGACCCTGTACTGATCAGAGGTTGTAGGTTCAGGTCTCTCTCTCTGCAGACCCTGTACTGATCAGAGGTTGTAGGTTCAGGTCTCTCTCTGCAGACCCTGTACTGATCAGAGGTTGTAGGTTCAGGTCTCTCTCTCTGCAGACCCTGTACTGATCAGAGGTTGTAGGTTCAGGTCTCTCTTTCTGCAGACCCTGTACTGATCAGAGGTTGTAGGTTCAGGTCTCTCTCTCTGCAGACCCTGTACTGATCAGAGGTTGTAGGTTCAGGTCTCACTCTCTGCAGACCCTGTACTGATCAGAGGTTGTAGGTTCAGGTCTCTCTCTCTGCAGACCCTGTACTGATCAGAGGTTGTAGGTTCAGGTCTCTCTCTCTGCAGACCCTGTACTGATCAGAGGTTGTAGGTTCAGGTCTCACTCTCTGCAGACCCTGTACTGATCAGAGGTTGTAGGTTCAGGTCTCTCTCTCTGCAGACCCTGTACTGATCAGAGGTTGTAGGTTCAGGTCTCTCTCTCTGCAGACCCTGTACTGATCAGAGGTTGTAGGTTCAGGTCTCTCTCTGCAGACCCTGTACTGATCAGAGGTTGTAGGTTCAGGTCTCTCTCTGCAGACCCTGTACTGATCAGAGGTTGTAGGTTCAGGTCTCACTCTCTGCAGACCCTGTACTGATCAGAGGTTGTAGGTTCAGGTCTCTCTCTCTGCAGAACCTGTACTGATCAGAGGTTGTAGGTTCAGGTCTCACTCTCTGCAGACCCTGTACTGATCAGAGGTTGTAGGTTCAGGTCTCTCTCTGCAGACCCTTTACTGATCAGAGGTTGTAGGTTCAGGTCTCTCTCTGCAGACCCTGTACTGATCAGAGGTTGTAGGTTCAGGTCTCTCTCTGCAGACCCTGTACTGATCAGAGGTTGTAGGTTCAGGTCTCTCTCTCTGCAGACCCTGTACTGATCAGAGGTTGTAGGTTCAGGTCTCACTCTCTGCAGACCCTGTACTGATCAGAGGTTGTAGGTTCAGGTCTCTCTCTCTGCAGACCCTGTACTGATCAGAGGTTGTAGGTTCAGGTCTCACTCTCTGCAGACCCTGTACTGATCAGAGGTTGTAGGTTCAGGTGTCTCTCTGCAGACCCTGTACTGATCAGAGGTTGTCGGTTCAGGTCTCTCTCTCTCTGCAGACCCTGTACTGATCAGAGGTTGTAGGTTCAGGTCTCTCTCTCTGCAGACCCTGTACTGATCAGAGGTTGTAGGTTCAGGTCTCTCTCTCTGCAGACCCTTTACTGATCAGAGGTTGTAGGTTCAGGTCTCTCTCTGCAGACCCTGTACTGATCAGAGGTTGTAGGTTCAGGTCTCTCTCTCTGCAGACCCTGTACTGATCAGAGGTTGTAGGTTCAGGTCTCTCTCTCTGCAGACCCTGTACTGATCAGAGGTTGTAGGTTCAGGTCTCTCTCTCTGCAGACCCTGTGTACTGGGGGGACTTCTTACCAGGGCCCTTGCCTCTGCTGCACCTGCCCCTGCACATGCCTGGCCCCTTCCCACACGGCTCCAACATCCTGGTGAACATGCCCTGGTCCCAGAGGCCCCCAGGTCTGGTCCCTCTCATGGTGCCTCCTTTCCCCCCCATCCCCCTGTACTGCCCTGCCCCTGAGCAAGACACCCCTCTGGTGAGACTCACACGGTCACACGGTCACACACAGCCGTTGCTGTTGATAATACTTTGTTTCTGCAGGAGCTCAGAGTGATGGCCCCTCCCTCGGCCCCGAGCCCTCCGCCCGACGTGGACGACTGAACTCATTTCAATTCTTACATCATTCACAAGTTCTCTTCATTTTCATTGTTTTTATGGTATTTCTCTGTTGTCTGTTGATTACGTCGTGTTCTTCTGTTTTAAACCATTACTTGAACATGCAAATAAAGTTTAAAATATTCTATATGTCTATGATATGTCAGTGTTGGTGAGAGTAGCAGTGGCTCCAGTAAGTAAGGACATGTTTTTAGTGTAGGGGAAACCAGAGGACCTGGAGGAAACCTACGCAGGCACGGGGAGAACATGCAAACTCCACTCAGAATGGCCCTGTTCCGGAACCCAGGACCTTCTTGCTGAGAGGCGAGAGTGCTAACCACTCAGCCACCGTGCTGCCAGTTGAATTTCTTCATTAAAATCAGGAATAGTTATATTTGTATTTTTTTATTGTGATTAAATCTCAGACTGATTTTCAAACCTATGAAATAAATCCACTTGTTTTTCTCTCACTATTTCACATGTTTTTTTTTATCTCGGCCTTTCCGCTTTTTAAAACAGAAGTGAAAAAGAGAATCTCTCAGGCAGCCAACTCTCAGCCCAGAGAGTCAAAGAACGACTCACAGGGACCTCCATCCAGAATGGACTCATACATGGGAGAAAGAGAAATAACGAATCAGAAGTAAATATGATAAAAGTTTAAATGAATAGAACAAAAGAAGCAAACAATAAACTTCAATTGTTCATATATATACGTACACACACACAAAGACACACACACTCACACTCTCTCACATACACACACTCTCGCACACACACAGACACGTACACACACACACACTCAGAGACACACACACACTCATACATACACACACTCTCACACACACACAGACACGTACACACACACACACTCAGAGACATACACTCACACACACTCACACACACGCACACAGACACACACACACACACACTCTCACAGACTCATACACACACACTCTCTCACACACACAGGCACACACTCTCAAACACACACACAGACTCACACACACACACACACACTCTCACACACAGACATATACACTCACACTCTCACACACACACACACACACACACAGACACACACACACACAGAAAAAGGGCGCAGCAGTTCCATGAACAATCTTTTGTTTGTTTTGTGACATTTTTTCGTCTTAATCTTTTGAGACGTTGAACTCTTGACCTTTGCAGAAGATCAGACTTTCACTGAGAGGAGGCTCCAGTCCGAGCTCCCGTGTTGAAGAGAAAATCTGCTCACAATGGCCACGAAAAAGACCAAAGAAAAAGAAAAGTCATCGACGATATTCTTTGGTTCAATTTGACACAATTCAATTTTGTGATTTTCTTTCAAGATTAAGACTAAGATTAAAAGATCCTTTATTGGTCTCACAGAGGGGAAATGTCAGTGTTGCATCACAAGTTACACAACAGTAGAATGAGGACCACAAGTTAAGTGAACAATATGCTCTATACTGATTAATATAATATAAAACATCTCCAACTCTAGCATCAAAGAAACCAGTCTAAAATCTCCACCTTTAACAGAATAAAGAAGTAGAACATTTTACATTTGTCAATTTAAGAGGCGAGTCTAAAGTACTGTATGTTTTAGTGCAGAGTCTCCCAAAGTGGGTCCGCGGCTCCCTAGTGGGCCGCGAGGGTATTGCAGGGGGCCGCGAGGGGTCATAAAAAGAATTTAAAAAGTTGTATATAATTATTGTATGTTGAATTAATAATATATATTTTTTGTAATGTTAAAATATTTGTGTTTCTTATTTGACTTGAATAATCAAATTGTATCATTGTGTGTAACAAAATGGGGTGCGTCGTTTACATGTTTGTAGCAGAGGCTGTTTCCCCAAAATAATATCAAACGAGAAGAGCCTATTTTTAACGGTGTCTTCTTGGTTATTATTTCAGGGGCCGCGCAGACTCGTCAGATTTTTAAGGGGGCCCCGGTGTTACTGACTTTGGGAATGGCTGCTTTAAACTTGCCTCTTATTTTGGTAAACGTAAAAATGTTGTACTTTTATTCTCTTGAGCCAGACCTCATCAGGACCTGTCCAAACATTACTCTGTTGTCTCTGTCCAAACATTACTCTGTTGTCTCTGTCCAAACATTACTCTGTTGTCTCTGTCCAAACATTACTCTGTTGTCTCTGTCCAAACATTACTCTGTTGTCTCTGTCCAAACATTACTCTGTTGTCTCTGTCCAAACATTACTCTGTTGTCTCTGTGAGTGAAGAGCAGGCTCAGGGCGTGTCCAGGAGATAAGAACTCAGACAAACCTGTCGCCGTGGTCCAGGAATGTCTCAGTTTGTCCTGGTCAGGCCCAGAGAAGAGGTGTGGAGGCAATTTATGGTTTAAATGTCCTGGTTTTCATTCTGGTTGGAAGACAGGTGCCAACACAAGCCACTGAGAAGGAAGCTTAAAGGAGAGAGACCAGAGACCAGAGACCAGAGACCAGAGACCAGGGACCAGGGACCAGGGACCAGGGACCAGGGACCAGGGACCAGGGACCAGGGACCAGGGACCAGGGACCAGAGACCAGAGACCAGAGACCAGAGACCAGAGACCAGAGACCAGAGACCAGAGACCAGAGACCAGAGACCAGAGACCAGAGACCAGAGACCAGAGAGACAAGAGACCAGAGACCAGAGACCAGAGACCAGAGAGACAAGAGACCAGAGACCAGGGACCAGGGACCAGGGACCAGAGAGACCAGAGACCAGAGAGACAAGAGACCAGAGACCAGAGACCAGAGACCAGGAGACCAGAGACCAGAGACCAGAGACCAGGGACCAGAGACCAGAGAGACAAGAGACCAGAGACCAGAGACCAGACCAGGGACCAGGGACCAGGGACCAGAGACCAGAGACCAGAGACCAGGGACCAGAGACCAGAGACCAGAGAGACAAGAGACCAGAGACCAGGGACCAGAGAGACAAGAGACCAGAGACCAGAGACCAGAGACCAGAGAGACAAGAGACCAGAGACCAGAGACCAGAGACCAGGGACCAGAGACCAGAGACCAGACCAGGACCAGGGACCAGAGACCAGAGACCAGAGACCAGAGACCAGAGAGACAAGAGACCAGAGACCAGGGACCAGAGACCAGAGACCAGAGACCAGAGACCAGAGACCAGGAGACCAGAGACCAGGGACCAGGGACCAGAGAGACAAGAGACCAGAGACCAGGGACCAGAGACCAGAGAGACAAGAGACCAGAGACCAGAGACCAGGGACCAGGGACCAGAGACCAGAGACCAGAGAGACAAGAGACCAGAGACCAGAGACCAGGGACCAGAGACCAGGGACCAGAGACCAGGGACCAGAGACCAGAGACCAGGGACCAGAGACCAGGGACCAGAGACCAGGGACCAGAGACCAGAGACCAGAGACCAGGGACCAGGGACCAGGGACCAGAGACCAGAGACCAGAGACCAGAGACCAGGGACCAGGGACCAGAGACCAGAGACCAGAGACCAGAGACCAGAGACCAGGGACCAGGGACCAGAGACCAGGGACCAGGACCAGAGACCAGAGACCAGAGACCAGGGACCAGGGACCAGAGACCAGAGACCAGGACCAGGACCAGGACCAGGGACCAGGACCAGGACCAGGGACCAGGGACCAGAGACCAGAGACCAGAGACCAGAGACCAGAGACCAGGGACCAGAGACCAGGGACCAGAGACCAGAGACCAGAGACCAGGGACCAGGGACCAGGGACCAGGGACCAGGACCAGGACCAGGACCAGAGACCAGAGACCAGAGACCAGGACCAGGGACCAGGGACCAGGACCAGAGACCAGAGACCAGAGACCAGAGACCAGAGACAGAGAGACCAGAGACCAGGACCAGGACCAGAGACCAGAGACCAGAGACCAGGACCAGAGACCAGAGACCAGAGACCAGAGACCAGAGACCAGAGACCAGAGACCAGAGACCAGAGACCAGGACCAGGACCAGGGACCAGGGACCAGAGACCAGAGACCAGAGACCAGAGACCAGAGACCAGGGACCAGGGACCAGGGACCAGAGACCAGAGACCAGAGACCAGAGACCAGGGACCAGGGACCAGAGACCAGGGACCAGAGACCAGGGACCAGGGACCAGGGACCAGAGACCAGGGACCAGGGACCAGGGACCAGAGACCAGAGACCAGGGACCAGAGACCAGGGACCAGGGACCAGGGACCAGAGACCAGAGACCAGGGACCAGGGACCAGGGACCAGAGAGACCAGAGACCAGAGACCAGAGACCAGAGACCAGAGACCAGGGACCAGAGACCAGAGACCAGAGACACCAGAGACCAGAGACCAGGGACCAGGGACCAGAGACCAGGGACCAGAGACCAGGGACCAGGGACCAGGGACCAGAGACCAGAGACCAGGGACCAGAGACCAGAGACCAGAGACCAGGGACCAGGGACCAGGGACCAGGGACCAGAGACCAGAGACCAGAGACCAGGGACCAGGGACCAGAGACCAGAGACCAGAGACCAGAGACCAGGGACCAGGGACCAGAGACCAGGGACCAGAGACCAGAGACCAGGGACCAGGGACCAGGGACCAGGGACCAGGGACCAGAGACCAGGGACCAGGGACCAGGGACCAGGGACCAGGGACCAGAGACCAGAGACCAGAGACCAGAGACCAGGGACCAGGGACCAGGGACCAGAGACCAGGGACCAGGGACCAGGGACCAGGGACCAGGGACCAGAGACCAGGGACCAGGGACCAGGGACCAGAGACCAGAGACCAGAGACCAGGGACCAGAGACCAGGGACCAGGGACCAGGGACCAGAGACCAGAGACCAGAGACCAGGGACCAGAGAGACCAGAGACCAGAGAGACCAGAGACCAGGACCAGAGACCAGGACCAGGGACCAGGGACCAGGACCAGAGACCAGGACCAGGACCAGGGACCAGGACCAGGGACCAGGACCAGGGACCAGAGACCAGAGACCAGAGACCAGAGACCAGGGACCAGGACCAGGGACCAGGGACCAGGGACCAGGACCAGGGACCAGGACCAGGACCAGGACCAGACCAGAGACCAGAGACCAGAGACCAGAGACCAGGGACCAGGACCAGAGACCAGGGACCAGGACCAGGGACCAGGGACCAGGACCAGGGGGACCAGGGACCAGGGACCAGGACCAGGGACCAGGGACCAGGGACCAGGGACCAGGGACCAGGACCAGGGACCAGGACCAGAGACCAGAGACCAGAGCAGACCAGGACCAGAGACCAGAGACCAGGACCAGGACCAGGGACCAGACCAGACCAGAGACCAGAGACCAGGGACCAGGGACCAGGAACCAGAGACCAGGGACCAGGGACCAGGGACCAGGGACCAGGGACCAGGGACCAGAGACCAGGGACCAGGGACCAGGGACCAGGGACCAGGGACCAGGGACCAGAGACCAGAGACCAGGGACCAGGGACCAGGGACCAGGGACCAGGGACCAGGGACCAGGGACCAGGGACCAGAGCAGGGACCAGGGACCAGGGACCAGGGACCAGGGACCAGGGACCAGAGACCAGAGACCAGAGACCAGGGACCAGGACCAGGACCAGGACCAGGACCAGGGACCAGGGACCAGGGACCAGGGACCAGGACCAGGGACCAGGGACCAGAGACCAGGGACCAGGACCAGGACCAGGACCAGGACCAGAGACCAGGACCAGGGACCAGGGACCAGGACCAGGGACAGACCAGGGACCAGGGACCAGGGACCAGGGACCAGGGACCAGGGACCAGGGACCAGAGACCAGGGACCAGGGACCAGGGACCAGGGACCAGAGAGACCAGGACCAGGGACCAGGACCAGAGGACCAGAGACCAGAGACCAGACCAGAGACCAGGGACCAGGGACCACAGAGACCAGGGACCAGGGACAGGGACCAGGGACCAGGGACAAGAGACCAGAGACCAGAGACCAGGGACCAGGGACCAGGGACCAGAGACCAGGGACCAGAGACCAGAGACCAGGGACCAGACCAGGGACCAGGGACCAGGGACCAGGGACCAGAGACCAGAGACCAGGGACCAGGGACCAGAGACCAGACCAGACCAGGGACCAGGGACCAGGGACCAGGGACCAGAGACCAGGGACCAGGGACCAGAGACCAGAGACCAGGGACCAGAGACCAGGGACCAGGGACCAGGGACCAGAGACCAGCAGGGACCAGGGACCAGGGACCAGAGAGACCAGAGACCAGAGACCAGAGACCAGAGACCAGAGACCAGCCAGACCAGAGACCAGACCAGAGACCAGAGAGACCAGAGACCAGGACCAGGGACCAGAGACCAGGGACCAGGGACCAGGACCAGAGACCAGGACCAGAGACCAGAGACCAGGACCAGAGACCAGAGACCAGAGACCAGAGACCAGAGACCAGAGACCAGAGACCAGAGACCAGAGACCAGGGACCAGGGACCAGGACCAGAGGACCAGAGACCAGAGACCAGGGACCAGGGACCAGAGACCAGGGACCAGAGACCAGAGACCAGGGACCAGAGACCAGAGGAGACAGGACCTCTTCTGTGATAGGGCCAGAGCTGTGGACCTTTTGGAACCTTTGCACATTCACTGGAGAACGTTAAGTCAATCTGAAGAGACCAAAGACACAATTAATACGTTGAAATTATTTATTTATTTGGCACATTGACCCCGGCAGTGACACGGCAGCGATCAGATCAATTGTAGCTGAAGATTATCTCAAATCCCCCGGGGTCAAGCACTGGTGGTGAATGGGGCGTAGGCGGAGCAGGAGCCAGAGCAGGAGCCAGAGCAGGAGCCAGAGCAGGAGCCAGAGCAGGAGCCAGAGCCAGAGCAGGAGCCAGAGCAGGAGCCAGAGCAGGAGCCAGAGCAAGAGCCAGAGCAGGAGCCAGAGCAGGAGCCAGAGCAGGAGCCAGAGCAGGAGCCAGAGCAGGAGCCAGAGCAGGAGCCAGAGCAGGAGCCAGAGCGAGAGCCAGAGGAGGAGCCAGAGGAGGAGCCAGAGGAGGAGCTAGAGCGGGAGCCAGAGCCAGAGCAGGAGCCAGAGCCAGAGCAGGAGCCAGAGCAGGAGCCAGAGCAGGAGCCAGAGCCAGAGCCAGAGCAGAGCCAGAGCCAGAGCCAGAGCAGGCAGGAGCCAGAGCAGGAGCCAGAGCAGGAGCCAGAGCAGGAGCCAGAGCAGGAGCCAGAGCCAGAGCAGGAGCCAGGAGCAGGAGCCAGAGCAGGAGCAGCCAGAGCAGGAGCCAGAGCAGGAGCCAGAGCAGGAGCCAGAGCGAGAGCCAGAGCAGGAGCCAGAGCCAGAGCAGGAGCCAGAGCCAGAGCAGGAGCCAGAGCAGGAGCCAGAGCCAGAGCAGGAGCCAGAGCAGGAGCCAGAGCAGGAGCCAGAGCAGGAGCCAGAGCAGGCAGCCAGAGCCAGAGCAGAGCCAGAGCAGGAGCCAGAGCAGGAGCCAGAGCAGAGCAGAGCCAGAGCAGGAGCCAGAGCGAGAGCCAGTGGAGGAGCCAGAGGAGGAGCCAGAGGAGGAGCCAGAGCGGGAGCCAGAGCCAGAGCAGAGCCAGAGCCAGAGCAGGAGCCAGAGCCAGAGCAGAGCCAGAGCAGGAGCCAGAGCCAGAGCAGGAGCCAGAGCAGGAGCCAGAGCAGGAGCCAGAGCAGGAGCCAGAGCAGGAGCCAGAGCCAGAGCAGGAGCCAGAGCAGGAGCCAGAGCAGGAGCCAGAGCAGGAGCCAGAGCAGGAGCCAGAGCGAGAGCCAGAGGAGGAGCCAGAGGAGGAGCCAGAGGAGGAGCCAGAGCGGGAGCCAGAGCCAGAGCAGGAGCCAGAGCAGAGAGCAGAGCCAGAGCAGGAGCCAGAGCAGGAGCCAGAGCCAGAGCAGGAGCCAGAGCAGGAGCCAGAGCAGGAGCCAGAGCAAGAGCCAGAGCAGGAGCCAGAGCAGGAGCCAGAGCCAGAGCAGGAGCCAGAGCAGGAGCCAGAGCAGGAGCCAGAGCAGGAGCCAGAGCGAGAGCCAGAGGAGGAGCCAGAGGAGGAGCCAGAGGAGGAGCTAGAGCGGGAGCCAGAGCCAGAGCAGGAGCCAGAGCCAGAGCAGGAGCCAGAGCAGGAGCCAGAGCAGGAGCCAGAGCAGGAGCCAGAGCCAGAGCCAGAGCAGGAGCCAGAGCCAGAGCAGGAGCCAGAGCAGGAGCCAGAGCAGGAGCCAGAGCAGGAGCCAGAGCAGGAGCAGAGCAGGAGCCAGAGCAGAGCAGCAGAGCCAGAGCAGGAGCCAGAGCAGGAGCCAGAGACAGGAGCCAGGAGGCAGAGAGGGGAGCCAGAGCAGGCAGGAGCAGAGCAGAGCAGAGCCAGAGCAGAGCCAGAGCAGAGCCAGAGCAGAGCAGAGCAGAGCCAGCCAGGAGCCAGAGCAGAGCAGAGCCAGAGCAGAGCAGAGCAGGAGCCAGAGCAGAGCCAGAGCAGAGCCAGAGCAGAGCCAGAGAGGAGCAGAGCAGGAGCCAGAGCAGGAGCCAGAGCAGGAGCCAGAGCAGGAGCCAGAGCGAGCCAGAGCAGGAGCCAGAGCCAGAGCAGAGCCAGAGCCAGAGCAGGAGCCAGAGCAGGAGCCAGAGCCAGAGCAGGAGCCAGAGCAGGAGCCAGAGCAGGAGCCAGAGCCAGAGCAGGAGCCAGAGCAGGAGCCAGAGCAGGAGCCAGAGCAGGAGCCAGAGCAGGAGCCAGAGCGAGAGCCAGTGGAGGAGCCAGAGCGAGAGCCAGTGGAGGAGCCAGAGGAGGAGCCAGAGGAGGAGCCAGAGCGGGAGCCAGAGCCAGAGCAGGAGCCAGAGCCAGAGCAGGAGCCAGAGCAGGAGCCAGAGCAGAGCAGAGCCAGCCAGAGCCAGAGCAGGAGCCAGAGCAGGAGCCAGAGCAGGAGCCAGAGCAGGAGCCAGAGCAGAGCCAGAGCCAGAGCAGGAGCCAGAGCAGGAGCCAGAGCCAGAGCAGGAGCCAGAGCAGGAGCCAGAGCAGGAGCCAGAGCAGGAGCCAGAGCAGGAGCCAGAGCGAGAGCCAGAGGAGGAGCCAGAGGAGGAGCCAGAGGAGGAGCCAGAGCGGGAGCCAGAGCCAGAGCAGGAGCCAGAGCCAGAGCAGGAGCCAGAGCAGGAGCCAGAGCAGGAGCCAGAGCAGGAGCCAGAGCAGGAGCCAGAGCAGGAGCCAGAGCAGGAGCCAGAGCAGGAGCCAGAGCCAGAGCAGGAGCCAGAGCAGGAGCCAGAGCAGGAGCCAGAGCAGGAGCCAGAGCAGGAGCCAGAGCGAGAGCCAGAGGAGGAGCCAGAGGAGGAGCCAGAGGAGGAGCCAGAGCGGGAGCCAGAGGAGGTGCTGAGGAGGTGGTGGTTGTTAAGAGCTCCAGGAAGCGCTGCTTGTCAGGAAGTGGCAGCCTTTTTAAACTGCCCGCTTTGCTGTCAGTGGGTTGGCAGGAGGCTGGCAGAGCTGTGTGATTGGCTGAGGCTCAGGGCTGGCAGAGCTGTGTGATTGGCTGAGGCTCAGGGCTGGCAGAGCTGTGTGATTGGCTGAGGCTCAGGGCTGGCAGAGCTGTGTGATTGGCTGAGGCTCAGGGCTGGCAGAGCTGTGTGATTGGCTGAGGCTCAGGGCTGGCAGAGCTGTGTGATTGGCTGAGGCTCAGGGCTGGCAGAGCTGTGTGATTGGCTGAGGCTCAGGGCTGGCAGAGCTGTGTGATTGGCTGATGAAGGGGGAATTGGCACTCAGTCTTTCAGTCTGAATTTACACGTTCAGCTTCAAATCTCTGCTTAAAACACATCTTTTCTCTTTCAACACAGGTTTTGATTTCTTTTGTATGTACTGTATGAATATGTATTTGTGTGTGTTTTTATTGTTGCTGTTTTGCAGTCGTCTGCTCAGCACTTTGGGGGGAGCCTGGGCTGTTTTAAATGTTCTTTACAAACGTATAGATTATTTGATCTGTGTATTTCTTACGCTTTTTCTTTCGTGTGGATTCGGATTACAGATTGCCGAACTAAAACTAGAACAGTGACTTTTGACTCTTACCACATTTATCAGGTCCTTTTTGCGCTGCCCTCCACCACATTCTGAAACTACACGATCTTTGGAATGTGACATCACAGGAAAACAACCTATTTCAGCGAGTTCTAACATCAGCTCATCCTTTCTCTGCCAAGTGACAAGTGCGAGCCAAAAGCAGCTGAAGAGGAGAGTTTCACTGAACCTCCCACACCATACCATAATAATGAGACTGGACGCTGCCAAATCAACTCAACCATGTCATGATTATCTTCTCCTTTAATTTACAGTTCAGAGTTATGTTTAGAATGATTCCTGCAGGTTTGGATCCGTCCTGAGACCATGAACCTTCAGACAAACTCACTGCTCTTTTCTTATTTAGCCGTTTCTCTGCAGGGATGACACATGAGGATCAGACGGTTTGATATAAATGACTAACACTGCTTCAGGATTATTTAAATTGCAAAATAGTTTTTACACGGTGAGAGATCTGCTTCACTTTCATTAAACAGTGTGGAATTATGGGTGTGGTTATATCATAGACTGTAAATATTAACGGACGTAGTCGCTCCTATCTCCGCCGTTCAAACTAACGATCACTTTTGGCTACTATGGGGCTTTTCAAAATGGCCGCTGGGGCTGGAAAATGGGAAAAAACACATATTTGCGCATTTGTTAGCTGCACGAGCCCAAGCCCCCGTGATCCAAGATGGCGTCCTGTTCAAATGAATGGCTTGTGCTCAGTAGCTCATGGGACATATACAGGACTGAAAGATTAGCGGAACTCACCCATATTTGGGCATCGTCTGGTCCTCCGGCGTGTGTGGCTCTCATTCATGTGCACAGAGGAGCATCCAGATATCTATCCAGATTTAACAATTGTATTCAAAAGACCACAGCGACTAAACTAGACTGGTCCAAAAAATTCACGCCTCTCATCACTGACAGCATCAGGAACATAGTGTTGAGACGGGACCCGCCCCCACTGGGTACTACATCCCTCCATTTTCTTCCACTTCATCCATAGCTGGGTCTTAGGAGCAGCAGTTTAAGCAGAGACGCCCAGACACTTCCTCCAGCTCATCAGGGGGAATCCCGAGGTGTTCCCAGGCCAGCTGACATAGTCCCTCCAGCGTGTCCTGGTCTCCTCCCGGTGGGACGTGCCCAGAACTCCTCCTGGTCTCTGAAGGAGCGCCCGGCCACTGTGGAGGAAACCCATGAGCAGAACTTGTTTCTGAGATCTCTTCGTTTCAGTCGTTTCCCAAATCTCATGACCACAGCCACTGACACATTTTAGGCTCTTTGCCAGATATTCATTCCCACCTTTTCTATTTGGTTTTTGGCCATTTGCAAAAAAAACCTCTGTGTGGGTCGTCATGGAGATGTGAAAGACAGTAGAGGACCGACAAAACACAAGACAAAAGAGGCAGAGCAGGATTGAAATCAGAATAAACTGGCTCTGAGGAAAACTGAGACGTTGGAAAAATCTCCCTTTAAACCTTTAACTTTGCTAACTTTGAGTTTGTGTAAGCCCTCAGTCGTACAGGGATTAGTCAAAGCAAAGGAAGGTTTCTCACCCATCATCTGTACTTCTTAGCAAGTAAAAGCGTCGGGAAAACTTGCAAAGAAGTACAGATGATGGGTGAGAAACCTTCCTTTGCTTTGCTAACTTTGCTAACTCTCTGTGTTTTCTTCTATGACGACAAAATATGCTATGCTTTTGAAAACATTGATTTTTTTAATCTTTACCATTACATTACAATAGTGTTTACATTTGAACCCAACTCAAGAAAGAGAAGAGTGACCGCTGCCGACCCTTCGTTCTGGTCTCACATCCTGCGGTGATTAGGACCAGTTCTCTTAAAGGTACAGTACGTAAAACTCACTCTGCGGTCGAATAAATACATTATACCACACTTTTATTCTTTCTCCTGTGACACATGTAGCTCCGGAGCACTGATGCAACCCACCTGCTGGGGTTTAATGAGAAACGTTACAAACTATGAGTTTTAGGAATGACTTTTGTATCTGCTTTTATTTAAAATGTGACGCCTATTTTTTTATACAAAAAAGATTCTACTCTGATTGGACAATTTTCTTCGTAAATCGTAGCCATAACTATTATAAACATCATGTCTGTTGTAATTCTGATGAATGAGAAAGCAGATTTACATTTGATCTCATCCAATATCTTTTTTGTTTCTATTCCTCCTTTTTGTGCAAGTAGACATTTACATGAGTTTATTTAAGTTTATTTAGGTTTATATCAGTTTGTTTATGGTCCAAATGAAGTGAACAAAGGGATCTTGACACAACTCTCTCCGTCTTCACTGGGAGCTGATAAGAACACACAACGCCTTAAGCAGCTGCTGATAGACACACACACTACACACACATACACTCTATGCACACACACACATACACACACACAAACACTCTACACACACTTGCACACACCGACACACACTCACACTACACACGCACACACACACACACACTCTAAGGCGGGGAGTGCATACGTGGAACAATGCAATAATACCACATTCCTTCAGACGTCCGGTCTCTGGACAATTCTTTCCACAGAAACTCGACCAACCAGTTGCAGGAATTAGGCGTAACCACGGCAACAGAATATTTGTGTTTAAGCTCCATAAACAAACAAGCAACCACAATATTTTTTTTATTTTCAGGATTTTTTGATAGGAGGTTAACAGGAAAGGCACAGGTCGATATAAAATGAAAGAAATATGAGGTCTGGACCCCCGAGGTCTGGACCCCCCGAGGTCTGGACCCCCCGAGGTCTGGACCCCCGAGGTCTGGACCCTGGTGAAGTCAGTGAACCCCACAGTGGGGAGGAGGAGGGTTGTGTTTGGGAACTGAAGACAAGATTAAACTGAGCCGCAGTTAAATCAGTGTGCACTGCAGAGAATTAGGAAAACATTTCAGATTCATGCAGCTAAAATCTTCTGAAAGAGTTTTTATTTTTGTTTCTAATTAATCGGTGTCTTTGTAAAGTGTCTCTGTAAAGGGTCTCCGTAAAGCGTCTCCGTAAAGCGTCTCTGTAAAGGGTCTCTGTAAAGGGTCTCTGTAAAGCGTCTCTGTAAAGCGTCTCCGTAAAGCGTCTCCGTAAAGGGTCTCTGTAAAGGGTCTCTGTAAAGGGTCTCTGTAAAGGGTCTCTGTAAAGCGTCTCTGTAAAGCGTCTCCGTAAAGCGTCTCCGTAAAGGGTCTCTGTAAAGGGTCTCTGTAAAGCGTCTCTGTAAAGCGTCTCCGTAAAGCGTCTCCGTAAAGCGTCTCTGTAAAGGGTCTCTGTAAAGGGTCTCTGTAAAGGGTCTCTGTAAAGTGTCTCTGTAAAGGGTCTCTGTAAAGCGTCTCTGTAAAGCGTCTCTGTAAAGGGTCTCTGTAAAGCGTCTCTGTAAAGTGTCTCTGTAAAGCGTCTCTGTAAAGTGTCTCTGTAAAGGGTCTCTGTAAAGGGTCTCTGTAAAGCGTCTCTGTAAAGGGTCTCTGTAAAGTGTCTCTGTAAAGTGTCTCTGTAAAGGGTCTCCGTAAAGCGTCTCCGTAAAGCGTCTCTGTAAAGGGTCTCTGTAAAGGGTCTCTGTAAAGCGTCTCTGTAAAGCGTCTCCGTAAAGCGTCTCCGTAAAGGGTCTCTGTAAAGGGTCTCTGTAAAGGGTCTCTGTAAAGGGTCTCTGTAAAGCGTCTCTGTAAAGCGTCTCCGTAAAGCGTCTCCGTAAAGGGTCTCTGTAAAGGGTCTCTGTAAAGCGTCTCTGTAAAGCGTCTCCGTAAAGCGTCTCCGTAAAGCGTCTCTGTAAAGGGTCTCTGTAAAGGGTCTTTGTAAAGGGTCTCTGTAAAGTGTCTCTGTAAAGGGTCTCTGTAAAGCGTCTCTGTAAAGCGTCTCTGTAAAGGGTCTCTGTAAAGCGTCTCTGTAAAGTGTCTCTGTAAAGCGTCTCTGTAAAGTGTCTCTGTAAAGGGTCTCTGTAAAGGGTCTCTGTAAAGCGTCTCTGTAAAGGGTCTCTGTAAAGTGTCTCTGTAAAGTGTCTCTGTAAAGGGTCTCTGTAAAGCGTCTCTAAAGCGTCTCCGTAAAGCGTCTCCGTAAAGCGTCTCTGTAAAGCGTCTCTGTAAAGCGTCTCTGTAAAGTGTCTCTGTAAAGCGTCTCTGTAAAGGGTCTCTGTAAAGCGTCTCTGTAAAGGGTCTCTGTAAAGCGTCTCTGTAAAGGGTCTCTGTAAAGTGTCTCTGTAAAGGGTCTCTGTAAAGCGTCTCTGTAAAGCGTCTCTGTAAAGTGTCTCTGTAAAGCGTCTCTGTAAAGTGTCTCTGTAAAGGGTCTCTGTAAAGGGTCTCTGTAAAGCGTCTCTGCAAAGGGTCTCTGTAAAGTGTCTCTGTAAAGCGTCTCTGTAAAGTGTCTCTGTAAAGCGTCTCTAAAGCGTCTCCGTAAAGCGTCTCCGTAAAGGGTCTCTGTAAAGGGTCTCTGTAAAGCGTCTCTGTAAAGTGTCTCTGTAAAGGGTCTCTGTAAAGGGTCTCTGTAAAGGGTCTCTGTAAAGCGTCTCTGCAAAGGGTCTCTGTAAAGCGTCTCTGTAAAGTGTCTCTGTAAAGCGTCTCTAAAGCGTCTCCGTAAAGCGTCTCCGTAAAGCGTCTCTGTAAAGCGTCTCTGTAAAGGGTCTCTGTAAAGTGTCTCCTTGAGAGATTCATATTCAGATTCAGATTCATTTTATTTCGCCATTTGCAGTAACACTACATTGGAATACATTAGTAAAAGTTCCCAGTGTGCACAGGACAAGTACAGACATAAAACAACATTAAAAGACAAAAATAAAACAAATTTTAAAAACAGTAAACAAATGTCACTGTGAAGTTGACCAACTAAAACAGATCTATACAAGTGCAAAAACATTAAAGTGCTCTATTCAAACTGATAACAGCTCGTGGAAAAAAACTATTAGCATAACGAGATGTCCTGCATCTCAGAGAACAGTATCTTCTGCCAGAGGGAAGAAGCTGGAACAAGGCTTTTCCTGGGTGGCCAGAAGAGTCATTGATAATTCTCAGGGCACTGTTAAAAAGTCTGGATTGATAAAGAGCCTCCAGAACAGGAAGCTCACAGCCCACAGTCCTCTTAGCAGAGCGGAGCACCTTGTTTAAAGCTCTCTTTTCTTTATCTGTGATGTTACCGAACCACACAGACACAGAACCAACAAGTAAACTCTCAATGGTGCAGCGATAAAAGTTCAGCAGAATCTTAGAGTTAGTGGTAAATTCTCTAAGTTTCCGCAGGAAGTAGAGACGCTGACGAGCTTTCTTTACGACCCGGTCAGTGTTTTTAACCCATTTCAGGTCATTAGACAGAGTTAGACCCAGAAACTTACACTCCTCTACAATCTGCACTTGGGAGTTATCGATTGCGACAGGCAAGTGAGAACTATTGCGACTAAAATCAAAGACCAGTTCACACGTTTTCGATGCGTTCAACTGGAGGTTGTTAGCCTTACTCCACTGAACCACGTTTTGGATCTCGGCTCTATAAGACGATTCATTGTTATTACTGATGAGACCGATGATGGTGGTGTCATCAGCATATTTAAGGATCAGGTTAGAGTCTGAGGAAGACACACAATCATGAGTGTACAAAGTAAAAAGTAAAGGACTCAAAATACATCCCTGAGGAGATCCAGTGCTCACAGAAACAACATCTGAAAAACAGTCATTGATTTTCACTCTCTGAGATCTGTCAGTTAAAAAGCTATAGATCCATTTACACATGGCAACACTTAAACCGAGAGACATGAGTTTTTCAATCAGTTTACCTGGGACAAGACAATTAAAAGCAGAGCTATAGTCAATGAACAGCATTCTTGCAACAGATTTCCTATTGTCCAAGTGACTGTAGACAGAGTTCAGAGCAAAGGAGATGCATCCTCCACACTCCTGTTCTGTCTGTAGCAAACTGGAGCGGGTCAACACTCACAGGGATCTGGCTCTTAATGAAGTCCAACACAAGCCGCTCAAAAGTCTTCATAAGAACAGACGTGAGGGCCACAGGACGATAGTCATTAAGGCATGTCACAGGAGTTTTCTTAGGAACTGGAATGATGGTCGACTCTTTAAAGCAGTTCGGCACAGTACAGTTCCTTAGCGACAGGTTAAAAATGTCTGTTAAAACAGGGGCAAGTTGCTCAGAGCACAGTTTCAGGACACGGGGTGGGATGCCGTCCGGGCCAGGGGCTTTCCGGACAATGGTGCTGGACAAGACCCGCTGGACTACCTCCTGAGTCACGGTGAACGCACCTTGATTGAGACAATCAGGAAAGACAGTAGGACAGGCATCAGCAGATTCGAAGCGGCAGTAGAACGTGTTCAGCTCGTTTGGCAGAGCTGGGCCAACAGATCCGATTTTCCCAGCACTAGGTTTCCAGGACGTGATGGCTTTAATACCGCTCCACATGCGCCGAGGGTCATCTTCCTTAAAATAACCCTTTAACCTGTCCCCGTAACTGCGCTTTGCAGATTTAATAGAACGTTTCAATGCATAACAGGATAGCTTATAGGCAACTGTATCGTTAGATTGAAACGCCAGAGCACGCTCATGAAGTTTTTGTTTCACTTCCGCGTTCATCCAAGGGTTTTGACTGAGATGTTCTTTAATGACCTTCTGTGGGACACAGCAGTCAATACAGAAGCGTATGTATCCAGTCACAGCGTCACAGAATTCATTAACATCCTCTGACTGAAACACAGACCAGTCAGTGGCATCAAAACACCCTTGTAGCTTCATGCTAGCCTCCTCAGACCAACACTGCACAGTGCGTGAGGTTGGTTTATGTTCCCTGCTCCTCTGAGAGTATGAGGGAAGAAGGAGAACAGAGGAGTGGTCGGACTTTCCAAATGGAGGTCTGAGACTGGACCTGTAAGCTCCCTTCACATTGCTGTAGCAGTGATCCAGGATCTGTGCTCCTCTTGTAGCTCGAGTCACATGTTGGTAGAAATTTGGGAGTACAGTCTTTAAATTACATTTGTTAAAATCCCCAGCGACAATGATCACTGCATTAGGATGAGCAGTCTCGTATTTATGAAGGATCTCGCTCAGATCCTGTAGTGCTACAGTATAGTCCGCTCGTGGGTGGATGTAAACAGCGCATAAAAATATCACAGAAAACTCCCGCGGAAGATAAAAAGGGCGACAGCTCAAGACCAGGCATTCCAGATTGGCAGTACATGTTTGGTTCACGATGCGAGTATCCGTGCACCAGCGCTGATTAATTAAAAAGCACACACCTCCACCTCTGGATTTCCCCGTGGTCTCCTTCACTCTGTCCGAGCGGTGAACGGTGAATCCCGGGGGCTGAACAGCAGAGTCCGGGACGTTCGTGTGGAGCCACGTCTCGCTGAGACAGAACACAGCGCAGTCTCGGGCCTCTCGCTGGCACTGGACCCGACACAGGAGCTCGTCCGTCTTATTGGGCAGAGACTGTACATTCGCCAGGTAGATGGAGGGCAGAGCAGTCCTGCAGGAGCGGCATCTCACGAGCAGACCGCCTCGTTTTCCCCGGTGTCTGCGCCTCCTACGTCGGCTCCCGGTACCCAGCTCCACACCGCGGAGAGCACGATGGAGACGCCCAGTCCCCCCGCTCTGTTCGCGGCCATTGCCGCGGCCCGCCTGCCATGTTTGACGGGCCTCACGAGTGGGGCACTCAATGAAGTCCACGCACCTCAGTTCGGGTAAGACCTGCGATACTCCGCAAGCTCGGTCCCGAATGTGGAGAAGTGTCTCTCGGTCGTACTTCACGGTGGCAAGTGTATCACAGACGAATATAAACAACATAGAACAGACAGTGAAGGATTATAAAATATGTGCTTCAATGTTAGCTAGAAAGAAACCAACAAGACTCAGAGCTGGTCAGTCGCAGCCGCACACGACAGAGGAGTAAGGGGCTGGAATAGGCACACACACACACACAGACTCACACACACACTCACACACACACACTCACACACACTCTCACACACTCACACACTAAACCAAGAACAGAGGCAAACTAAAACTGTACAAGTGGTGAAGGCAGGCGTACAAAAGGAGTGATGGTGCCGCAGTGGGCAACTCTAACACACAATCCCCCACCGTGAGAAGCCACGCCCGGACCAGGCCCTGAGCAGAAACAGACACAGTGACCAGTGAACAGTGTTTGGCTCATTTTAAATATATTAAAATGAGCCAAACACAGTAATTAGGTAAAGTAAACAAAAGTCGAATGAAATACCAATTAGACCCAAATAAAAGTGCACTCAACGCCTCGTATGACCCACGATTAGGACGGAAAAACCTGCACTACTATTGACACTGTTTCTTGAGTGCCACTTTTTATTGGACATAATATATCCTGCATTTAACATGTTTAAACATTCTTTCTTTTGCACAATCTGAGTGTTTCTATCCATGCCAATGCAGTGAGACCCAGGGACCCGACCCAGGGACCAGGATCAGCGCCGGGCACAGGGAGGTAGGCCTGGGGGGAGTTCCCTCTACGGCGGCTCATTAGGGACAAACACACTGGTTACATACACATTTTAAATTCGGAGTTTCAGTAAAGTGTCATTTTTATTTCATAATTTTTTCCTCATATGTTTTAAAATGTTTGTAAATGTGTGTGATTTTAACTCCATGTCTCTGTGAAGCACTGTGGTTCTCACGGCAGGACCTTAGCTTCATAAAGACTGGATTTGATTGAGTTAAATTCATTTCACTTGAATGGATTCCAAACATAACACACATGAAAGTCGTTTCTCTGGAAAGTCTCTGATGGTTTCTCTGGAAAGGGCAGATTCATTAATCATTACATTCCTGCAGTGGGTTTGACTCTGAAAGTGAAAGTAAACATCCTGGTGCCTGTTTATTAGATAAGACTGTGGGTGTGTCTTCAGGTGAGTTCACACAGATCCAGGTCCTGGGTTCGAATCCCAGTCGGAACAGGGTCTTTCTGAGTGGAGTTTGCATATTCTCCCCGTGTCTGCTCCGGTTTCCTCCAGTTGCTCCGGTTTCCCCTACCACTAAAAACATGCACAATAGGTCGAATTTGGTGAATGGTGTTTGGTCGGAGGTTTTGATGGACCAGTGTGTTCGGGTCTCGCTTCTGTCATCACCGTGTGGAGAGAATGGAAAAACATCTGGACTCTGAACACTGTAAATGGCTTTGGGTCTGTACCTTAGCGACAGTAGCTCAGAGCATTGGCCTTTGAACCAGAAGGTCTTGGGTCCGAGCCCACCTCAGGGCATTCACCATCGACTGTCTGCTGTGGTTGTGTCCTTAGGCAAGACACTTCCCCCACATTAGAATGAGTCTGGTGTGTGTGTGAATGGTTGGTGGTGGTGGGAGGGGCCGATGGCACAGACTGGCGGCCTCGCTTCTGTCAGTGTGCCCCAGGGCAGCTGTGGCTACAGTAGTTTATCACCACCGTGTTTAGAGTGAGAGAATAATGATGTGAAGTGTCTTTGAGAGTCCAAAAAAAGCGCTTTAAAAAACGGATGTTTTATTATTAATACCTTGGTCTGTAAAATGCGCTTTATAAATAAAGACTACTTTCTATAGCTACTAAGGAGAAGAAGAAGAAGAAGAAGAAGAAGGAGAAGAACCTTCTTCTCCTTCTTTTCCTTCTTCTTCTCCTTCTTCTTCATTCGTCCCACAGTAAAGTAAAAGTAAAAGTCGTGTGTGAGGTTTGCGTCACGAGCTCCAGGTCTGACATTGAGAGTTGTTTATATTTCATAATAGTTTTATTTCATATGTTTTATAATGTTTGTAAAAGTGTGATTTATAAAAGACTTTGATTGATGGGTTTAATGTCCCTTTATTTCACTTGAATTGGTTCCGAACACTTTACAGACATGAAAGATAAACCATTATCATTAAGATAAAAACATTGTTGATAAGTTCAAAGTGAGGCTGTGTTCATGGTGCAGTGAGTCCGTTTCTCTGGAACAGACTCATTAATGATTACGTGAACAGCAGACACATGTTTTTAAAAGCAGGCTCAACACACACCTTTTTATAATAACCTTTGATTAGTTTTTAATATTTATCATTAAAAATTACATATTCTATTTATCTTTTAAAGAAACTTAGATTAGTTTTATTATTTTATTATTATTTATTTGTTATTTATAGTGCTTTAATCCTTTTACTATGAACATTTTAATGTTTAACTTTTTATTGTATTGTTTTACTATCTCCAGTGTTTCCTCCGGAGGAGCCCTCTGCACTGAGCTGAGCTCTGCTGTAGTGGAGGTCTGGGCCTGGGCCTGGACCTAGTGGAGGTCTGGGTCTGGGCCTGGACCTAGTGGAGGTCTGGACCTGGGTCTGGGTCTGGGCCTGGACCTAGTGGAGGTCTGGACCTGGGTCTGGGTCTGGGCCTGGACCTAGTGGAGGTCTGGGCCTGGGTCTGGGCCTGGGGCCTCCTCTCTCCTCTGGGTCCTGTGGGGGTCTGGGTCCGGGTCTGGGTCTGGGTTCTCCTCTTTTGTCCAGGATTCCTTTGAAAAAGAGGTTTTTAATCTCAAAGGGACTTTCCTGGTTGAATAAAGGTTGAATAAAAATAAGTCCAGGCTGAACACTATTCTTAGTTTTGCGAGTCGTTTGTTAGATTTTTAATTCTGAGTTTCAGTCCTGACATTAAGGACATTAAGAGTCATTCTAATTTCATAATTGTTGTATCTGGTAAGTTTTAAAATGTTTGTAAATGTGTGACTTTGACTCCATTTCTTTGTAAAGCAGGACTTTAGCTTCATAAAGACTGTATTTGATTGTTTTAAATGTCCTTTTATTTCTCTTGAATTGATTCCAAACTTCTCACGGACATGAAAGTCACATCCGTGTATGTAATAAATAAATAAAGCAAATAAAGAAATACTTGATAATTGTGACCGTTTCTCTGGAAAGGGCAGATTAATGATTATGTGAACGACAGCAGACACAACAGGCTGTTTGACTGTGAAAGTGAAAGTAACAAACATCCTGGACTGGGTTCAGGTCCAAAACCATCTGGACTGGGTTCAGGTCCAAAACCATCTGGACTGGGTTCAGGTCCAAAACCATCTGGACTGGGTTCAGGTCCAAAACCATCTGGACTGGGTTCAGGTCCGGTCTCTCTCCTTATTGGTCAAACAGCCCTTTCACAGCCTGGTGCGGGTCTACAGCAATAGTCATGAAAAGAACTCAGTGAAGGAGGAGGGTGTCCACACTTTTGCTCTGTACTGTATATGTGTATGTGTGTGTGTGTGTGTTTGTGTGTGTGTGTGTGCGTGTGTGTGTGTGTGTGTTTGTGTGTATGTGTGTGTGGGGAGGGGTCTGAGGTGAAGGATAGTTTTTAACAAACTGTAAATGACTTTGTGTTGCTTTTCTTGCATAAAAAGGTTTTATTTGAAAGATTGAGACACTTTTATAACTGAGCGACGACTGATGTGGGTTTGACACAAAGTGAAAGTAAAAAACATTCTGCAGCCTGTAAATAATAATGTTCATCAGATAAGTCTGTGGTTGTGTGGTTCAGTCTGTGGTTGTGTGTGGTTCAGTCTGTGGTTGTGTGTGGTTCAGTCTGTGGTTGTGTGTGGTTCAGTCTGTGGTTGTGTGTGGTTCAGTCTGTGGTTGTGTGTGGTTCAGTCTGTGGTTGTGTGGTTCAGTCTGTGGTTGTGTGTGGTTCAGTCTGTGGTTGTGTGTGGTTCAGTCTGTGGTTGTGTGTGGTTCAGTCTGTGGTTGTGTGTGGTTCAGTCTGTGGTTGTGTGTGGTTCAGTCTGTGGTTGTGTGGTTCAGTCTGTGGTTGTGTGGTTCAGTCTGTTGTTGTGTGTGGTTCAGTCTGTGGTTCAGTCTGTGGTTCAGTCTGTGGTTGTGTGTGGTTCAGTCTGTGGTTGTGTGGTTCAGTCTGTGGTTGTGTGTGGTTCAGTCTGTGGTTGTGTGTGGTTCAGTCTGTGGTTGTGTGGTTCAGTCTGTGGTTGTGTGTGCTTCAGTCTGTGGTTGTGTGGTTCAGTCTGTTGTTGTGTGTGGTTCAGTCTGTGGTTGTGTGTGGTTCAGTCTGTGGTTGTGTGGTTCAGTCTGTGGTTGTGTGGTTCAGTCTGTGGTTGTGTGGTTCAGTTTGTGGTTGTGTATGGTTCAGTCTGTGGTTGTGTGTGGTTCAGTCTGTGGTTGTGTGGTTCAGTTTGTGGTTGTGTGTGGTTCAGTCTGTGGTTGTGTGTGGTTCAGTCTGTGGTTGTGTGTGGTTCAGTCTGGTTGTTGTGTGCTTCAGTCTGTGGTTGTGTGTGCTTCAGTCTGTGGTTGTGTGTGCTTCAGTCTGTGGTTGTGTGTAGTTCAGTCTTTGGTTGTGTGTGGTTCAGTCTGTGGTTGTGTGTGGTTCAGTCTGTGGTTGTGTGTGGTTCAGTCTGTGGTTGTGTGTGGTTCAGTCTGTGGTTGTGTGTGGTTCAGTCTGTGGTTGTGTGTGGTTCAGTCTGTGGTTGTGTATGGTTCAGTCTGTGGTTGTGTGTGCTTTCAGTCTGTGGTTGCGTGTGCTTCAGTCTGTGGTTGTGTGTGGTTCAGTCTGGTTGTGTGTGCTTCAGTCTGTGGTTGTGTGTGCTTCAGTCTGTGGTTGTGTGTGGTTCAGTCTGTGGTTGTGTGTGGTTCAGTCTGTGGTTGTGTGTGGTTCAGTCTGTGGTTGTGTGTGGTTCAGTCTGTGGTTGTGTGGTTCAGTCTGTTGTTGTGTGTGGTTCAGTCTGTGGTTGTGTGTGGTTCAGTCTGTGGTTGTGTGTGGTTCAGTCTGTGGTTGTGTGTGGTTCAGTCTGTGGTTGTGTGTGGTTCAGTCTGTGGTTGTGTGTGGTTCAGTCTGTGGTTGTGTGGTTCAGTCTGTTGTTGTGTGTGGTTCAGTCTGTGGTTCAGTCTGTGGTTCAGTCTGTGGTTGTGTGTGGTTCAGTCTGTGGTTGTGTGGTTCAGTCTGTGGTTGTGTGTGGTTCAGTCTGTGGTTGTGTGTGGTTCAGTCTGTGGTTGTGTGGTTCAGTCTGTGGTTGTGTGTGCTTCAGTCTGTGGTTGTGTGGTTCAGTCTGTTGTTGTGTGTGGTTCAGTCTGTGGTTCAGTCTGTGGTTGTGTGTGGTTCAGTCTGTGGTTGTGTGGTTCAGTCTGTGGTTGTGTGGTTCAGTCTGTGGTTGTGTGTGGTTCAGTCTGTGGTTGTGTATGGTTCAGTCTGTGGTTGTGTGTGGTTCAGTCTGTGGTTGTGTGGTTCAGTTTGTGGTTGTGTGTGGTTCAGTCTGTGGTTGTGTGTGGTTCAGTCTGTGGTTGTGTGTGGTTCAGTCTGGTTGTGTGTGCTTCAGTCTGTGGTTGTGTGTGCTTCAGTCTGTGGTTGTGTGTGCTTCAGTCTGTGGTTGTGTGTAGTTCAGTCTTTGGTTGTGTGTGGTTCAGTCTGTGGTTGTGTGTGGTTCAGTCTGTGGTTGTGTGTGGTTCAGTCTGTGGTTGTGTGTGGTTCAGTCTGTGGTTGTGTGTGGTTCAGTCTGTGGTTGTGTATGGTTCAGTCTGTGGTTGTGTGTGCTTCAGTCTGTGGTTGCGTGTGCTTCAGTCTGTGGTTGTGTGTGCTTCAGTCTGTGGTTGTGTGTGGTTCAGTCTGGTTGTGTGTGCTTCAGTCTGTGGTTGTGTGTGCTTCAGTCTGTGGTTGTGTGTGGTTCAGTCTGTGGTTGTGTGTGGTTCAGTCTGTGGTTGTGTGTGGTTCAGTCTGTGGTTGTGTGGTTCAGTCTGTTGTTGTGTGTGGTTCAGTCTGTGGTTCAGTCTGTGGTTGTGTGTGGTTCAGTCTGTGGTTGTGTGGTTCAGTCTGTGGTTGTGTGTGCTTCAGTCTGTGGTTGTGTGGTTCAGTCTGTTGTTGTGTGTGGTTCAGTCTGTGGTTCAGTCTGTGGTTGTGTGGTTCAGTCTGTGGTTGTGTGGTTCAGTCTGTGGTTGTGTGTGGTTCAGTCTGTGGTTGTGTGTGGTTCAGTCTGGTTGTGTGTGCTTCAGTCTGTGGTTGTGTGTGCTTCAGTCTGTGGTTGTGTGTGCTTCAGTCTGTGGTTGTGTGTGGTTCAGTCTGGTTGTGTGTGCTTCAGTCTGTGGTTGTGTGTGCTTCAGTCTGTGGTTGTGTGTGCTTCAGTCTGTGGTTGTGTGTGGTTCAGTCTGTGGTTGTGTGTGGTTCAGTCTGTGGTTGTGTGTGCTTCAGTCTGTGGTTGTGTGTAGTTCAGTCTGTGGTTGTGTGTGGTTCAGTCTGTGGTTGTGTGGTTCAGTCTGTGGTTGTGTGTGCTTCAGTCTGTGGTTGTGTGTGGTTCAGTCTGTGGTTGTGTGTGGTTCAGTCTGTGGTTGTGTGTGGTTCAGTCTGGTTGTGTGTGGTTCAGTCTGGTTGTGTGTGCTTCAGTCTGTGGTTGTGTGTGCTTCAGTCTGTGGTTGTGTGTGCTTCAGTCTGTGGTTGTGTGTGGTTCAGTCTGGTTGTGTGTGGTTCAGTCTGTGGTTGTGTGTGGTTCAGTCTGTGGTTGTGTGTGCTTCAGTCTGTGGTTGTGTGTAGTTCAGTCTGTGGTTGTGTGTGGTTCAGTCTGTGGTTGTGTGGTTCAGTCTGTGGTTGTGTGTGGTTCAGTTTGTGGTTGTGTGTGCTTCAGTCTGTGGTTGTGTGTGCTTCAGTCTGTGGTTGTGTGTGCTTCAGTCTGTGGTTGTGTGTGGTTCAGTCTGGTTGTGTGTGGTTCAGTCTGTGGTTGTGTGTGGTTCAGTCTGTGGTTGTGTGTGCTTCAGTCTGTGGTTGTGTGTGGTTCAGTCTGTGGTTGTGTGGTTCAGTCTGTTGTTGTGTGTGGTTCAGTCTGTGGTTCAGTCTGTGGTTGTGTGTGGTTCAGTCTGTGGTTGTGTGGTTCAGTCTGTGGTTGTGTGTGGTTCAGTCTGTGGTTGTGTGTGGTTCAGTCTGTGGTTGTGTGTGGTTCAGTCTGTGGTTGTGTGTGGTTCAGTCTGTGGTTGTGTGTGGTTCAGTCTGTGGTTGTGTGTGGTTCAGTCTGTGGTTGTGTGTGGTTCAGTCTGTGGTTGTGTGTGGTTCAGTCTGTGGTTGTGTGTGGTTCAGTCTGGTTGTGTGTGGTTCAGTCTGTGGTTGTGTGTGCTTCAGTCTGTGGTTGTGTGGTTCAGTCTGTGGTTGTGTGTGGTTCAGTCTGTGGTTGTGTGTGGTTCAGTCTGTGGTTGTGTGGTTCAGTCTGTGGTTGTGTGTGGTTCAGTCTGTGGTTGTGTGTGGTTCAGTCTGTGGTTGTGTGTGCTTCAGTCTGTGGTTGTGTGGTTCAGTCTGTGGTTGTGTGTGGTTCAGTCTGTGGTTGTGTGTGGTTCAGTCTGTGGTTGTGTGTGGTTCAGTCTGCGGTTGTGTGTGGTTCAGTCTGTGGTTGTGTGTGGTTCAGTCTGTGGTTGTGTGTGGTTCAGTCTGTGGTTGTGTGTGGTTCAGTCTGTGGTTGGTTGATCAGGTTTATTGTGTCTTAAGCCTGGTTCACAGAAGGCGATTTTAAAATTGACAGGGATAAAAAATTAAGGGTCTTTGATCGAACAGTGTACGGCAAAACCACACGAACCGATTTCACTCGAGCATTCCCAGGTCTGACGGAAATCTCACAAAATCTGTGGAGATCAAGCGTGACTTCAGAATAAACAATCATGGCGGACGAAGAGGATGCAGCGGCGATAGTTTGTTTTTAACAGAGAAAAAGTGTTTTCAAAGGAAAAGGCGATGATCAGAGAAATGGAAACGTGAGCTCGGACTATAAATATTGATATATATATTTATGCAGTATATATATTTATGCAGTATATATATTTATACCGTATATATATTTATATATATTGTTTCCTCGCCGCCTCGTCACCTGGTCTTCTGATTGGCTACAGCCGCAGTCGCTGCAGCTCGTCTGTCCTGGAGGACACCGAAGGGAATCAGGCCAAAACAATCCAACATGTTGGAATCAGGCCAAAGCAATCCAACATGTTGGAATCAGGCCAAAGCAATCCAACATGTTGGAATCAGGCCAAAGCAATCCAACATGTTGGAATCAGGCCAAAACAATCCAACATGTTGGAATCAGGCCAAAACAATCCAACATGTTGGAATCAGGCCAAAACAATCCAACATGTTGGAATCAGGCCAAAACAATCCAACATGTTGGAATCAGGCCAAAACAATCCAACATGTTGGATATCCCTGAGATCGGAGCAGTCCTGAAGTCCTTCAGAGCGACGCAGTCTGAACACACCACACACGGAAAATACATCACATTTTTTAAACAAATATCGAAGCGTTCTTAAGATCGTTAGTGATAAACCGGGTCTTAAATCAGCCTCATTATCCCGCCGTGTGAACCGGGCTTTAGCAGACTCTCTGAAGGTTAGACTCCAGCTCAACAACACTTCACTAAATGACCCACACATTTCTGACTCTGTGTGTGGGAGGGAGGCAGAGGCCAGAGGGAGGACACACAACACACACACAACTCACACACAACACACACACAAACTCACACACAACACACACACAAACTCACACACAACACACACACAAACTCACACACAACACACACACAACACACACACAACTCACACACAAACCACACACAAACTCACACACAACACACACACAAACTCACACACAAACCACACACAAACTCACACACAACTCACACACAAACTCACACACAACTCACACACAAACTCCTCTAAAGCTTTCAAATGAGGACACACTGTTCTTCTGTTCAGATTTTCAGATTCCGTCCTGAGAAAAGTCCAGAGTTTGCTTTTATCTCGCTGCTGTTGGAAGAATAATCATGTTGGAAAAGAGTCTGAGGGTTTCCATGGAAACCTCCATGGAAGGATAAGAGAGAGTTTATTGATCTCTGGGATGGATAGAAACACTCAAGATTGTACAAAAGAAATGTGCAACATGTTAAATGCAGGATATATTATGTACAATAAAAAGTGGCAATTAACAACAAATGAATATACAACAGCACCTGAAGTGTTGAATAACTTTGAGCGTCTGAAAATAATAGTCTGTGAAATGCGTCACTACGTCAGTGTTGCAGAAAGCTCCTGATTGGAGTCACACTGACTCCTGTCAAACTACACTACTGCTGTATGATAGCAGTCATAACAGCTGTGAGCTAACAGCTGTGAGCTAACAGCTGTGAGCTAACAGCTGTGAGCTAACAGCTGTAAGCTAACAGCTGTGAGCTAACAGCTGTAAGCTAAGGTCAGTAAAATGAGGTGTGCAGTTCAGCTCCACAGGAGAGAGACTGTTATGAACATGTGAACAGGAGTTGATCTGGAGCCAACCATAAAACTGCAGATTAAAGCATTTTAAAAGTTAAACATTATGGAGAAGTCTAAAACACTTGAATAGTATACATC